GGTTGAGAACCTAGTAATCCAGAACAGTGAAGCAGCTTCTAAATCAAAATAGCTGGAATTTCAGACCCCTTTCATATCAGAGGTTGGAAGGTACTAGAACTAGCCCACCCCCCCGTCTGATTTTGGAGCTGTTCTGGTTCATTTGGACTCCACTTTGCTTAACACATTAAGCCACAGGTAGCAATGGCAATGCCATCATTACTTTGTCCAGTTAAGTCTTTTCCCCATCTCTAAATTTCATTTTCTTCCCAGTTTTCATATTCTAATTTCTCTACCCATTGCCAGATTAAACCTTGGCTAGAAAGTCGGAGCGCATGAAATGATAAAATCATATGTAGATCAAATCACATGCATTCCCACCACACATCCGTATGAGTAACACAAACAATATCATTCCATTTTGTGGCTAAGTGTAAGGTCTTTGTTCATTGTACACTTTGACAAATATTAACCACTACAGAATTATTTTGAGTAAAGTTGCAGAGGGGATAAGTTAGGCCAGGGGTGAACAACATGGGGCCTGCCCTACCACTCCCATCAGCCCTAGTTAGCATAATGAATAGTGAAGGCCAATGGGAGATGTTGGTCAAAACCACTGGAAGGCTTCAAGTTGCCCACTTTGAGTTAGACTGTACTTGGAATGATTGGCATCTGGTGTCTCCTAGGTTTTCCCCCTCTTGACAGTGTACAGAAATGGCACTAAATGGGTTGTATCTATTTATTTAGAACCAACTCACCATAATGATTCAGACTCTCAAGTTAGTTATGACTAACTTAGGTCCCATTTATGTCAATGGGACTTCTACTTTCTGCTAGAAGTAAGACTAATATTGGATACATCCCAGTGCTCTAATCAGATCTGAGAAAGGCTGGCTTACTCTGTTTTCTTACTAGCAAATGCCACACCTGGAGGCAGAGGGGCAAGAGTGGTATGTTCTACTCAGCATCTGAACCGTGGTAGCAGCCTGCTTCCTTGAAAACTTTTGAGAAGGGAGGGGAAATAGTCTCACACATTTTCTCAGTTCTTGCCACCCCTGATCGTTTTTTGCCCAGGAAAAAGCGGGGACGTGGTGCCTCTTTTTTCAGCATGCCAAATGCCAGTGTAATGCTCATTTGAAATGCAGGTGCTCATCATGACAGGCCCCCAAGCCACACGCCCATGGGAAGCCCAAATTCAGGCAGCTGCTTTGATCAGTAACTACAAACCAGTCCGAACTGCTTCTAACACCCTGGGTCGGAATTGCCCCTTCAGAACAAGCTGCCACAAAACACTTGACATTATGTCAGGAAACAAAAGGTTGTTTCCAGCTGCGAAGAGCAGCTGTGACGCTGCTCATGAAGGGGTGGCAGTGCTTCATCCCTGAGCCCTGACTCCACTCTGTCGATGATGCCTAGTAAAACAAAGACTCCAAATCCATGTCTCCGCCTTTATCTTGCTCTCAAAGCACTTTACCACCCGGTACACAGGAAACAGGACTGCTCTTCCCTTCAAATCATTCCCACCTGTACAGACGTGATTGCAACAATTATCCGTGTTAACAGTAACAGATGACTAGTTGAGGAGAGCTGATTTAGATCCTAAGGTGCAATCCAAGCATGGATCTAATCCTAAGTCAAGGCAGTCCCTGCCTTGGTATTTTATCTCGACAGCTCTTTGGGGATTTATGCTTTAGGGCCAGCAAGGGGGGAAGGGAAAGCACAACTCTTCACTGAGCCTTCACCTCTCCTTGCTACCCCCAGCAAGCCTTTCCCCCCCTCTGAGGCCCAGTTGAGAATGGGGGTGGGGGGGCAGCCAGCTCCATTTCTTTCTACACTGGCTGGAAAGAGGTGGGTACTCAGTTTTCAAGTCCCAAGCATCCAGGTCAGAGGACCTTGGTGCTCAGACTCTGAAAAATCCTGGGCTCTCTCAGATGTTATCAGGAGATGATGGGATGGCACTCCAGATGCTGTGCCAACCACTTTAACAACTCTTGCTGTTCTGCTTCATAAAGCGTCACAAGGAGTTATAGGTCATTTATAGGCCCTCTGACAAGTAATGTATTCAGTGGCGCACCTGATGCCTTGTGCCGCTAAAAGAGCACAACAAGATCCCATTGTGCAGCAACTAAAGGTTCTGGAGAATGGCGGCGTGCCCTAAAAAGCATGGCGGAAATGCATGCCATTTCCTGTGTTGGTGCCGTGGGCCTACCTCATCCCGCTGGCTGGTTCTCCAGAGGTCTCACTGTCACAGTGATGACCATTAATATCCTGTCCTGACTGAAAGGACAAGCCGTCATGTACCTGCATAACTGGCCGTCCCAAGTTCAATGTTCAAAGATGCTTTGCAAATTTAACCCAAGTGCATGCACTGCTGTGCCATCATGAGTCAGGATGGTCAGTCTAAACATCCCATTTTAAGTGCTTATAAGAGGGCAGAAGTGGTATCTCCAAGATGAAAATCATGTCGAGGGGCACATGTTAATGATGGAACTTTACAGAGAAATGGCAAAATTAAAAAGGGGAAGAAAATGTGTCATCTCAACTTCCTTCTCCTAATTAAGTAGGAATCCCCATTTAATAAATTTATTTATTTATTTATTTATTTATTTAAAACATTTCTATGCCACCCCATTCGCCGAAGCCTCGGGGTGGCTCACAACATAAAAAATGCCACAGTTACCATCCTGTAAGAACAGGTTACAGTTGGGGCTCAAAGCCAACTATACAGTACTGTTGGCCAACTTAATCTGGTGAATACAATGCAGGCATAGTTGTCAAAAACTAAGAACTGAAAACTAGCCCATTAAGTGAAACATTTCATAATGTTGAGCTTAATCTAGATCAAAGAGTTCAAGAAAAACAGTGAGTGAACCATCCAGATAACTGGCCAGTTAAACTTAATTTACTACGAGGTTAATGGAGTAAGTTCTTGCAGCAGCAAAGTGACTCCCTTATTAAATACTTGCTAAACAAGTAGCCCTTGGGTTGAAATGAATTAAGAAAACTGTAAGGGATGTTCATACTGCTGCATGAACTGCAAGGGGCTGGGGGGAGTTCTTACTGCTTCCTCTAATGAGATCAGGGCTGCAGTCTATGTCTGTCTGGCAAGAAGCCCCACTGAACTCCACTCTGGGTCAAGAGGGTAGGACTGAGCTGTAAACGTTAAGAAGCATCGTTGGAGCAAAAGTAGGTTTCAGCAGGTTTACAACCCTGCCTTAGGCAGCACTGCTTCCCCTGCAGCCAATCGCTGGGTTTAAGTAAATCCAGAAATACACAGGAATGAGCTGATAAACTTTTTAACTGAGCAAATTTCCTTCAAAGAAAGAATATAATAAGGGAAGGGGTACTTTTTAGATAGCAACTACAGAGTGTTCTTCCTTTTTTCATTTTTTGCTGTGGCGTGGTACTGCTTTCTTGCTTCTCAGAAGCTATTTCTGGATATTTGTGCATTTATGCTTATAGGTGTGCATGTGAGTGCGCACGTGTGTGTATGTGTATGCCTTTTGTGTTCAAGACAGGTCACACATTCCATAACTTTGTCACTAACATGCAGGTCCTCTTTGGCTTTCCTGAACATAATGAGCTTCATTCTTAGAGTATTTGCACCTTGGAACATTCCAAAGCCTTGTTGTGGTGGCAAAGAAAGAGCCCCACCACGTCCTGTGACAGTGTTACCTCCCCAATCTAGTGCTCCCTCCCATTCATTTACCCATGATGGTGTGTGTGTGTGTGTGGGGGGGGGGTTAGCTCCTCCTTGAGGGCCAAAGAGAGGAAAACACTGCCTGGATCTTAATACGCATGCCTCGCCCTTGGTCTGCTCCACTAGGGCGCTCCCCATGTTCCTAACCCTGGAAGCTGATGAGATGTCAACATGAATGACAACACACAATATTAATCCAGGTTCCTAGTTACAAGGCTTGATGGAGGCAGTGATCTCAGAAAGATCTCTCCATCAGTAGTAGGATGCAGTAGACAGCAAGACAAATGTCTACATGGTAGCTATGGTATACGATCCACAGATCTTTTGACAAGAGGTACCATAGTCTTTTACATGAAATGTAACTTCTGATGCAAAAAGAATTATCATGAAAGTTACACTGCCAGTTATACTCTCTTCCTCACTCTAAAGGAAACAATGTGACTAGAAGGTTATAAGCTGCTTCATATAAACTGGGGCAATGGCCCACACTAACTAAAACTGCTCCAGGATTCAAGTGTGGATGCATGGAGGATTAATCTCAGCAGTAAATCTTCAAAGAATATGCCTTCTTTGTCCTAAAAATAAGAATACAGAAGTCCACTTCCTTTCTTCGTGTTATGTGCTGCAATGGGCAATTCATTAGTGCATTTCCTTGATATCTACAGATAGAAGGCACTCCAGAAATGCAAAATGCTGAACTGTCACTTTGTAATCCTCATTTACTCCTCAAATCTGCACCAGTGCTGGCAGTCCCTACCTGGAAGAAACAAATGAATAAGCTAGAAGAGTTCTCATTAGCTGCCAGGTCAGGAAAGATCCCACCAGGGAATTGTTTGGAGTATAAAGCACTGCAGTAAGGGAATCAAAGGTTCTAATGTTGCTGAGTTTGGGGTTGCTGTCCTTGTGCGGAATTCTGGAAATGTCTAACTGCAGTGACAAGGAAGCAAAATAACGATAGCCTCGCATCAATTAAGAGGGCAATCCTACACGTTTAGGCAGAAGAACAACTCAGCAATTCAGCAAGGCTGAAAAAAATCCTTACAATGTTGGGTGGGGCATGTTGAAAGCTGTAGGACTATTGCCTGTCCTACATGCATAGCACTGGGAAAGTGCCGCAAGAACTACATTTGAGAACAGGGACCTGTGAAAAGACACGTATTAACAAAAAGGAAGGGGAAAAAAACACAGTGCCTAGAAGTGCTGGCTTGGATGGAGCAGAGCCACAACAAAGAAAAATGGAACTCAAGAAGTTTCTGTTAGATATTTCCCTTGCTGGTCAAGCGCATACATAGTGAGCAATAAAAAGCTACAGGAGTCGGTGTCCTAGCCAACATTTATAGTTGCTTTCTAAAACATAATGAGTTACAGTACAACACCGATTTTGCAATAATATTAGGGCAGCAGTGCAAAATAAACAAGTGTAAAGAGATTATCTTAGTGCTTTGTGGCCCAGTACTTGGAGGCTAATCTGCTGTGTGCTTGGCGCCCTCCAAAAGTTTTGGACTACAACTGCAACAGAGTGTCAGATTATAGAAGTCCTTGCACACCTGCATTTAAAGATACATCAGGCCCCATCAATTGGAGTCTGCATGTCTCAGTATATAGTTGGAGAAACAGATCCAGATCTCCACGGTTTATGCATACCTGAGTCCTCTACAGTGGCACGTCCCTTTCTGGATCTGAGCAACAGGATGAAAAACAAGCCACCCAAATGTGACAGCCACTTTGCTCCCTTCCATCGTAACTGGTTTGTCAACTCTACTTTTAGTGGTGCTCGACCCAAAAATCATAACTACAGATTGCATCCAGAGGTGACATTTCACCAGAATGGATTTTCCCCCTGTCCCCCAAATGGTGGACCCTCCAGAGCAGATTTGGGATGCAAGCATGGAATCCTAGGCAAGAGGAGAGGATGGAGAGGGTTCACTATTGCATGATAGTAGAGGGTCTTCTCACATGCCTGTTGAATCCAAACCTCCATCCTGATTTCCTTTGTTGAGTAACTCTCAGATGCAAGCAAGGATCTTGCTCACTGATCACCTGCTTAGAACAGCAGATCCTATTCCGCTTGTTATATATAGATGGCCAGTGTTATATAAGTGCTGAACTGCAGGGCATCTGTCTTTTATCTTGCACTTTGCAAGCACTCAAGATCTTAGGGGGAGTGGGGCTCTGGGCCACAGATAGCACGTGAGGTATTGTGGGTTTTTCGGGTCTTGGATTCCCATATCTGAGGTGGGAGACCATACTTTGACCTCAGAGCCAGGAAGTGGCACTCCAACTCTCTCTTCCTTGCAGCCAGCACCTCAGTAGCTGCTTGCTGAAGAAGAGTGACCTTGAAGAGGGTACAAGTGAGCATTTCAGGGGGCAGAGTGGGGAAGTCGCCCAAAGCCACTCCAGTCTCCTTCGCTCCCCTCCTGAGATGCTGCAGTTAGATAGGCAAAAGAGTCATACAGGAGGACGAGGAGACAAAGATCTCTTGCACTGCATCGGGTAAGTGTAAGCCTCTGAGTTCAGGGGCATCTCGATAGTACAGCACTCGTCCTCTAGTTTTACATTAGTGGTGCCTTTACAGATGAGTTGCTGAACTATTGCAGCTCTCTGTGACTTGGACTCTTCAGCTGCATAGACTAGGAGCACACCTTTTTGGGGAAGCCTGTACTAGCTGGACATCTCACGGAGCAAAATGTAAAGGTAGATCCTGATCCAGCCCTAGGTACAGTGTCGCTGGGCAAGGCGGTTGTAGTTCTGCTTCAACAATACTCAGTGCTGCTCAGATGGTTGGGGGAAGAAGGATCAGGGGACTAAATCCAGCCCCCACCCCAGCAACAGCTATTGCCTATTATTTGACCAGCCTTTCACATGCACAACTGGCCTCTTTTGCAATGGGATCCACACCATACAACTCTGCCTTGCGTATGATACCCAGCAATTAAGTCTCAGTGGCAGGTATGCATGCGTACTTGACTAGGGTGTTTGTTGGTTTTGCTCTGACAGATTTAAGTGACTGGAATTTAGATGTACATTCGTTAGCCCTTGATACAGTTTAAGCATGTTTTTGAAATAAAGCAAGATGGTAAGAAAGGAACTATGAATGGCTTTTTCTGTCCACACCACCAGATTTAAGGTGGACTGTGGAGTATTAAATTCATCTTAGTGCGTATTTTGCTATTGGTCTTAAAACTTGTAGTAGTGCTAACAGCTACAACTACAAGTTACTAGTATAGTATAGTTACTATACTGTTACTAGTATTCAGAGTTAATGGAATGGTAACACAGTTTGGACTCTTGAAGCGTGAGTGTTCCTTAACCTGGGGCCTTCCAGTTGCGTTGAGATCACCCTCAGCAAGGAGGCAACTGATCAGGCTGCCTCGGGATGAGGGGAGTTCTAGACCAAGGCATCTGAATGGCTCTAGGCTGGAGAAATGTGCTTCAACCAATTCAGTCCAGATGTAGTGCTTTTGAGCAACAGAAACATGGTTTTGCTGTGGAAGAACCACCAAAGCATTTTGCAAGAAGGGAAATCTGCAAAAGCAAAGCTACCACAAGAAGGCAACATGGTTTTAAATAAGAAGGCAATGCACATCAGCTGTCCCCATCAGCACATGGATATTATGGCTATGTTGGCTGGGAATTAGGAAACTCACAGTCCCAACACATCTGGAGGGTGTCAGCTTGGGGAAGAATGATATGCAAAAGAACAACTGAAAAGATGCTTTCTAAGGAAGGAAAAGCAGCGTTCCTACATCCTGTCACCAATAACCAGAAAGCAAAAAATTATTGCTGGTTCTTGCTTGCTTCTGGCTATACCTGAAAAGGAACTGAGGACCAGAGCAAGCTGTGGAGAGCCAATCTGCATTTATGTCTTCATGGGTTTCATGCTAAAGCCACATGGGTTGTCCTGAGGCAATATCTGAACTTGACAAATGATTGCTGATACAATCCGGTCCATAGATGTGCCCACATGGGAGGTGAGAGAGCTATAGATGATGGTCAGAAGAGATGCCTCAACAAGTTTACCTTTCCTTTAGCCAGTGGACAAAGTGTCTGTGTTTGGAAAAAACAGCAGGCTGCATGCAGTTTGAGCGATATCGAGAGCAGAATTTGGGTTGTCAGGGCTAGCCCTACTGTTTTGTACCAGCAAACTATTGGACAGCAAACTATTATTTTGGCTTTGGATGATTTTTCCCCCATTAGACTGGGTAGAAGTGCTTGAGGGATTTTCTTCCCTTAGCAGCCACTAGGACCATAAAAGAAGCTGCATTCTCAACAGAAAGCTCACAATGGTGGGTGATCTTAGGGTGGCTTAAGAAGGATGGCTCCTGCCCCTACTGCTCAAAAGATACTGTGTTGTCATTCTGCTTTTTCCACCTTAAGATTTTTGTGGTTAAAAGAAAAATCCAACAGATGGATGGGAAATTGCAGGAGGGTTACAAATGGAAGGCATCATTGTCTGGATGCTTCTTAAAGTTCCATCTTTGAGGCAGGCTGATTGCACAGCAAAAATCCACAATTGGAAGCACCCTTGGTGTGTGGAGGCCATTCAAGAGATGATGCCTGAACTGAAATAACCCTCTAGCCTGGTTGAAGGATCCTGGGAGTTGCTAACCAAAGTTACTTCTTTGTGGTCTCTATGCATCACAGATATGGTCCCTGGGGCTCTGTGGAGCCTATTGTTGGGAAGATTTTACAACTAAATGTTTATTTGGGTGCGGGCCACTCCCCTTCCTGTTCCCTGTTCCCAGAATGGGTTGGTTCCCATTCCCTCAGTTCCTTTTCAACCATCTCCATGCCTAGATCTCCTCAACTCGAGTATTTTGCAGGATTTCTTCCTACCACTTTCTACTATTTGGCTCCCACTCAGCCACCATCTCTCCATGAACTTCATTTCCACTTTTCACTGCACCACAGGGTGAGAGAGCCACCCTCAATGCTGCCCTGAAACCATCAGCAAGAAATCTTACCTAGTCAAATGGCAGGCATTCACCACCTTCGTGCAACAGGAGGTGCTCGATACACAGGACACCGTGATCGAGCACATCCTCTGATCTCTACACAAGCTCATCCAAAAGGGGGCTGAAGCCCTCCTTTATCTGCAGAGACTAGCAGTCCGGGTCACAAGCACCATCTCCCCAGCCTATGAGCTGGCTGGTCTTCAACTCTTGGCCCATCCAAGAACCCACTGCACATGAGTGATGGCGATGATGTCCACAGCCCTCCACATGGGAATTCTTGTGCAGGACCTTTGCAGAGCAGCTACATGGTCCACCCCTTCAATGTTCGTCCAGCCATGAAGGCTGAACATCTGGGCAAGGGCAGACTGCCCCTTTGGCAGAACAGTCCTCTCTGTGACCCTCTGGAGATGATATCACCCCACCATCCTCCCCAGGATGTTTGCTAGTCACCCATGTGTGTGATGGATGGAGACTACAAAGAGCAAAGTTGGGTTGCCTGCAAGTAACTGCCATTCTTTGAGTGGTCGTCTGTGCACTTACACAAACCACCCACTGGCCCACTGACCGGGTGTCAAACTGAAGACAGCTAGCCTCCCTTTTGGAGGGGGGGCACAGGGGCTGGACCAGGGCGGTACAACACTCCCCCCTGAGTCCTGGGACCTACAGACAGTCTCAATGGAATGGGCAGAACCCCTCCCATTGATAGAAAAAACTGAAAGGGAGGGGCATCCACCCAATATAACATCTAGCTGTAGAATCTTCCTGGCAACAGGCCCCACGCAGGCGCACGGCTGGTATGTGTGGATGCACCAGTGACCACTCAAAGAACGACAGTTACAGACCTGACTATTTGGAGGGCACCGGATTGGGGAAGGCTGCTCAGTAGCTACACGTGAGCTTCATCGCCACCACCAAAGGCTACTCTGAAGTGTCTCATAAGATAGGAAGTCATGGCCACGTTGCGTATTTTTGTGGTGCACCATTTTTTCATGCCAGGATACAGTCATGTGGCAACTCTGCATTGCTTGTGCCATTTTGAGTAAGACGTGTGACGTGATAGCTTTTAAGATGCTCTGGGAATGTGTATCAACTCTTTGCATGTGGGAGGATTATGGTCCAGCCAAGTTGCTTTGCCTGCAAATGCTCCATATTGAAGAAAACACTTTTGGGGATAATGGAGGAAGTCAGCTTTAGCCTCCCAAAACTTAGGACACATTTTTACTATGCCATCAGACTCTGCTGTTTTTGCCGCAACAGACCTGCAGCTTTCCTTTGGAAAACTGCTGCTTATCTGCAGATCGGCTACCAGTATTAAATCACTATTACCAAACCTGGCAGGTCAATCTTAAAACCATAGATGCATTTGGCTATTTCTCAAGCAAATCAAAAAATGCTCTTTGGGAAAGCTCTTTTTTAAAAAAGAGTAAACATGAACTAATGTGCTTTAACAATCTGCCTCAACCCCTTGTTTCAGAAATAGCAAACAAGAATCCCAATTCTGTCACAATGGCTTATTTTGAGACATTGTGGTCTAGTTTTAGGAGATAAGTACTGTTTGCAGTCTGGTTTTAGGAGAGAATTACATTTGCCTGGCCATATCAACATGCATTCCTAGCTCTAGATTCACATAAACTAGATTTCTACTCCTCTTACAGGATGCCACCCATAAACAAGATAACCTGAATCATGCACTTTGTCAGACTGTCCTTTTTCACTTTCCTTTTATTTTATCATTGCCAGTGCAAATGCATATGTAAGAGAGAGCAGTATTTCTCAGTGCCACAAGAGGCAACGGGCCCAGACTGCTTCATGGATTCAACTGTTAGCTGCACTGATTTCAGGAAGAAAATAACATGGTACCCTTATTCATTTTTTTAATTTATGGGCTATAAATTTAATTTGCAATTAATGATGTGGAATCGAAGAACAAGCACACTCTGTGTGTTTGTCCATGGATGCCCCGTGCTTCTTTCTTCACTTCCTCCAGTGCATAACCGTCTACTGTTGAATCTTCCAGCTACTGATCATTGGTGCCCTAAGCTCAAATCGCTCTACCTGATGCGCATGGACACGCACAAGCATGTTGCACTTGGGAGGATGGTGGGTGCCAGCTTAGCCTTTTTGAAAAACCAAAATACTTATTTTTCTAGGTGTGTCATTTTGTAAATGTATAACTATGACCAGCAGTCTCCAGCTCTAGTTTGTGCTACCGAATGGCCTAAGTGTGCTATATCGCATAACCTATTCCTTCCTGTGGGGAACTTTCCTGCCACATTTATGCAAATAGTACATCAAAATATATAGTGAATCAGTCTTGACTGGGCAGGATAAGAAAATAAGGGGGAAAGTAGCACATCACATTATGGGCCCAATCAGAAGAATTTCTCACGCAACGGAGTATTACATGTGCCTAGTAGGATGAGCATAGAGAGTTCCTACAAAGGCCCCGCTGTGTTTGCAGCTGCAGTGGGAAGGATCAGTGGGAAGCCCCACTTTCTATGCTCTGTGCCCAGTTCATAAGATGCCTGGTTTGCTCACATGCAGCAGCATTTTGTGAGGCGGAAAAGAGAGGTCTCTGCTTCCCTTGTGCTGCGAGGGTCTGCACCCATTTGTTCACACGTTGCAGCACACAAGGGCCCTTCTGTGCCTGCAAGGTGAGCTCTGGTTCCCAAATATGCTTTTGCAACTCTTCAGGGGAAACAAGCATCCAGCTAAAATAAAAGTGAAATCGGTTATTTGATTGTATGATGCTGGGAAGGGAATGTGTTGTGGTTGCAATTAAAGAACTTTTCTTATACTTTTGTTATGGCATCACTGCAATGAACCTGAAATTCACATGGACTCCCAAGGTGCAAAAATGACTTTAGTTTTGCCTGGTAAACCCTCCACTTCCTGACCATTTGTTTACATTTTTTATAAAAGTTTTTATTTTGCCCTAAATTATATCCCTTCCTCCAATCCAAACCATTGCAAGAAAATAAAATCTTCATCAGTCCACTAAGTCTCAGTTGCCATTGCCTAATTATAGGCTAGCAAAATAAATCTATACACTTTGAAATATTTCTCTTCTGGAGACCTCTTCGTGGTGGCCCCTCACCACGCACGGAGCACGCTCAGCCCCAGACGATGCCAAGCATTTGCACCGTGTGCTGGTCACACACGGCTTCGGCAAGGAATATGTTTTGCTGCCATGCCTGCTCCAAATGGCTGAGCTGCTTTAGTGGGGAAGAGTGGGGGGTGGGCAGGGAAAGGGGCTCCCATTACAACTAACACCCTGTTTGACAAATTGGATTAAATAGTTACTAACGGAATTGCACTTCTGATGGGCGAGCGCCCTTCACACCTCCACATGCTCCACTGTCATGTGGTGTTCTCGTTAGGCCCCTTTGACGAGCAGCAGGGCCTTCGGCAAAGCCCCGGCGGTCAAGTGGCTTCCCTGGTAATGTTGTTGCGGGACCACACGTGGTTGGTGTGATGTGCAAGTTCCCCCATTTTGGCATTCCAGAGTCGTCTCCTCCTCCTCTTCTTCCCTCTCCACTCCTGACCTAATCCACACCGCCTGCTCCATCAATGACAAGGTGAAGTATCCTCCAAGCCCAGAAGCTCCTTGACAAGTTTCTCACCGAACTGCACTCGGCTGTACTTTTTCACGTGATAGGAGTCGGACATTTTGTACAGGATGTAGGCATTGTTTATGGCAATGCTGATGGCAAACCAGAACACTTGCTGCCAGGTCTTGTTCGGTTTATGAGAAATGAAATACCTGGGAAAACACAAAGAAGAGCAGGGGGAAAATTTGACTTGCCAGTAAAACATTTCTAGAAGAAGGAGGAGGCTCCGTTTCCTAAAAGCTACGGGCGCCAGATGCATGATGGGGTGTCCTGTCTCTACCATTTACAAAAAAGAGTGACACACACACTGGATCTGCAGGACACAGCAAGCTGCATGAGGACCACCCCTGGCTACCCACCCAACTGCCGAAGTGGTTTCTTTGTGACGAAAAAGGTTTAATAGCCCCCCACATCTGCTGTGCCAATGAAACCTGGATGATACAACAAGCCCAGTTCTGAAGCCTACAGAACTGCTTGACAAGAGTGGCAGAAAGTGTCACTGCTCTGGTGCCCAAGCAGCACTCTGAGCAGCTGTCACTGGCTTCCCTGTTCCACCTCCCCAAGTCCTGCTCTGCACCTGATGAGGCAGCACGTGGAGTCCCATTCTGCACTGAGCAGCAGCAGATCGAGCATCACCTCCCCTCGCTACGGTGGCCACTCAGTACTCCTACAGTGTCTCCTGGGACACCTGCAGGAAGACCAACGGGGAAGGAGGATGGGGCAGCTCTGGAGCCACAAGATACCTAATGCTCTCTTGGGCAGATCATGAGCCCTGAGACAAACAACCAACAGTGCTTGGTGTTCTGTGTAGTGTGGTTTTTTGTACTGTCTGAACCTAGACAACCACAGGTTAAGACAACATGACCTGGTGGAATTTTGTGAATCCATTTTTGTTTGATTTTTGCTAACTACACTTGCTAATTTTTCCAAAAGCATTTAAAGCTGGCAAACTAGAAATAGCATAGTTACTTGCAAGCAGGATTCATAACATGCTAATTTCAAATACTGACTGTTCAATATTCCTAATGCTTGTTGGACTAACAATCAACTTAAACTGGAGAAGATACATAGCAAGTAACTTGATGGTTCATTTTGTAAGATTTTGGTTAAGGCATACAGGGAACTTAGGTCCTTCAGACTAGATGTGGCCCGCAGCCTAATTTCCTCTAACCTGCAGTATCATCACACATATCCAGGATGCTGCAGACACTGCAGGTCGAAGACCTGGGCTGCACCTGCACCTTTCCTCCTTCCTGCCATTGAACTCAACCCTTCTGTCTTTAGGAGTGGGGTGAGAGTCTCCCTCCCCTGCATTTGTAATATAGAAACAAGAACCATTGTGACAGCTTGAGGCGGTTTGAGGCAGGCATACATCTCCTTGGAACTTGTCCATTTTGCAGAGACAGCATTTTCAAAACATTGTGCCCTCCACTGACAGTTCTTCCACATAGTTGAAGCTCATCAATCATGCTATGCTGAAAACTGAATCTTGATATCAACCCAAGCTGATTCTTATTTAAAAAAGAAAGATTGTCCACCCTTGAAATACAGATGGGACTGCTCTTTAAAAGCAGTACTTTGAGTCATGCATCCAAGCACTACAGAAAGCCAGGAGAGACCTGGCACATTGGTACTTTCTGCAAGGCATCAAGGGTGAAAACACTGAGAAATGATGGCCTGGGTGATTAGGACAATTTCAAAAGTCCCAAAGCAAATCAGTTCCAGCTGTCCATGTCCGGCATACTAATCTTAACACTCTGCTTTGGCCTGGCTTAGCAAAAAGGAATCAATACATGCACTGAACATAAAAAAGATAATCTTTTAAACCACAGCATTTGGCCAGAATTCTCTCTCCATCTCTCTAGGGTGATTTCACAGGACATTTTCTCATTTTCAACACAAAATGATGTTTTCCAATCACCTTGCACCAAGCTTCATGTGAAATTAGGTTGCATGAATGAGCTGACAAGCATGGAAGTTTCTACTCAATAAAGCTGGCTATGCCCTACAAGTTCATCTAAAAGCACTACTTTCCCTGCTCCTGCCCACTTAAGGGCCTCTTCCTGGCCAACCAAAGAAATTATAAATGAAATGGATGAGGCTCTTGTGTGTTGGTTGCTCTACTGGTTTTGTGAGCTGCACTGTCCTGCTAGAGAGGGGAGACAGAAATTAACTTGAAAAATAAGCAGTTAGTTCCTCAGAAGGTTGGAAAGGATCGCTCAGCACCCGTTGCATGAAGGCAAACAGTGTGAAATAGGGCCAGCCCCTCATCAAGCAAAGCGAAGTCCCACCTTGGGCAGCGATTCCCAGAGGATGGTAGATTTTGTCCCAAAGGGAACTGCAGGCCCTACCTGGCACTTCAGAAAGCCATGCTGCCCATTCTCCTGCTACAACAAAAATGACTGTCTGGGGCATCACCAGTTCCATTTTAAGGACCCCTCTGAGCACTACATTAGGTGGACAGGGTCTCTAGGAAGCCTCAGCACCATGCAGAAGAGAGAGGCCAACACAGCTCCCCAGAGAGCCTGGCCAAACGGCCTCACAGTTGGCTTCCTTTCTCAGACGGAAACATTGGTGAGGAGGAGGCCCCGGGGATGATCTGGGATGCCATGACACAGGTGGTCTTCTGAGTCACTTCCCTGCCAAGGAAAAGCCCCTCAAACAAGGCACCGCAGAAGAGAGCAGCCTTCCTTTGCCTCTGTTAGGCACTGTGGCTGGGGAAGAGAGGGCAGTGAGGCGTGAGGATGAGGAGAGTGAGTGACTGTGGAGGGGGAGGGGGAGGGAGTCACTGTGGCTACAGGGGAAAGGAGAACAGCAGCATGGGGGGGAGGCTTCCCTGTGGTCCGGCTGGCCACCTTCTCTATGATTATTGGGGAAATGAAGGGCTGAAAGGAGGAGGAGGCAACGTTACTGCAACCTGGGATGGAGCCCTTTTCATTTGATTTAAAAGAGTTCGACTGCTTGTTCTAATCCTGCTCACTGGGCACACTGTGAACTGTTATGAAGGTCGCCTTTGAAGTGCTTATACTCTGCTCTTCTTCCAAGAATCTTAATAAGGATGCTTATTACTTTAGCAGAAGGGCATTTTACTCATAAGATGTGGTCTTCAGCTGCAATAGAAGCTGCCTCCCTTTGTTGCTTAGAAGGCCCTAAAGCTTCATCCAAGGTCAGTGCCATGTTCACTGGGCTCTTGGCAAGGGTTCTGGTTGGGCCCCCTCCCAAGCGCCATCCCCCAGAGCTCTCCTCCTGAACGCTTATCCTGAATTGATGGGCACAAACAGCAGGAGATCCAACTACTCTCTGTGGTGGCCCTGTGGCCTCTTCTTTGTGAAAGGGTCCTCTATTTGGCAAGGTGTCCTGTCCAATTCCAATTTAAATATCAAGTATGCTAAGAAAGGAGGGAGCAAATAGAAGCTTTCAAACTGCTCATCGGGAATTCACAACTGGACAATAGCTGATTGTACAGACACACGTCTTCTAGTCACACTGTGGCCAGATGTGTTGAATGTCTACTTAAATTACAGCAGCTGTATGCCTCAGAAGCTCTGGGGATAATAGCAGCAACTGAGAGCTACTGTGGTGAAGTAGCTAGTGCTGGACAGGAGACTCGGGTTCTAGCCGCTACTCAGCGCGGAAATGTATTAGGTGATGGGGCCAGTTCCCAACCCTCACCGGGTGGTTGTAAGGATACAATGAAGAGTATGATGACCACGTAAAATGCCCTGGGTTCCTTCCAAGAAGAACAAAAGTAGGATCTAAATGTAATAATTAAAAATAAAAATCTTCTGCCATCTGTCACAGAGCTGCTAAACATGTGGGCCCTTTAATCCAAGCAAGGAATGCATTTTTTGAAAAGGAAAGGCCAGTGTCAGAAATGCGGGTCCTCCAGGGCCCAGGGACCCTGGCCTTTGTCTTGCCATGCCAGGTGCTGGTGCCAAACCTGTGCCTGAAATGGCCTGCTAATGGGCCAAAGTGACATCTGTGAAAGCTCTGATTCAGTGCCTCTGAGCTTTAGACAGGCTTCAGTTAAAGGACCCATTACAAGAAACTCTCTGGTTTTACATTGGAGGATAATGATGGATGTGGCCACATGATTGCCAGAAAGGAAGAAGCACATGACTGAAACAAGAGAGCAAAAGGACCCCTATTTACATAAAATGTGCATCCACAAATGCATATATACAGATGCAAATTTAAAAATAATACTTATTTTCAATAATACATCTCATTGTGGGATGGAAGCCTGTGATCAGGTGAACAAGACTGCTCACGCTGCTGTTCGGATGCTAACTTTCAGTGGGCAAAGGCTCTTGTGGTCCATTCCTTCTAAACTGGACAGGGCAACCCTTTAAACAGAAGGTTGGCTTCTGGAAAAAATAAAAGGCCCACTAAGACAATTAGTGCAAGTAAAGTGACCAATTCTGTACCACTTAATTGCGGCATGCGTATTCCACACTGGTGTTGCTGTGCAAGGAGCAGACCTGCTGAGTTGGCCAAAGAGTATGGGGCTTTTTTAGTTTGGTTTCTAGGGGGTTTGTATAATGGCTTTCAATGGACCGTTGAAGCAGCAGACTAAAGATGTGATGTTTGAACTTGTTTTTGCCAAGTTTTCTCCCCTTTCTATACAGGCTCTGGCCAAATACCAGCCCCACCCTCTGCCCCACTTCCTGGGCTGCAATATGCATGGCCCAGAGTTGTTTCTTCTCTGGGCTGTTGCTGTTTGTGAATGTTTTTTCATCTAAGCTCTTTCCGTGAAAGAAGAGCTTTCTTTTATTCTTACAAATAAAATACATCACGGTTGACACCATTGTCAAAGTCATTTGGGGACACCTACTCTTTTCTTTCAGAAGGAGTTTTCTTCCTAACGCAGGGAAGTTTCTACAAGTATCAGCTTCTTTGTTTGGAAGCCAATTTCCATGACGTGACCATGACCTGGTTTGCATGATCACTGCAGCCCATGGTAGCCTATTAGCTATGGTGGGTTGCAGCGCCTACAGGAACCGGGCTGGCAATCCAAGCCACAACGTGCTCATTGCCTGCAAACCCAAAGAGGGTGGGTCATCGCAGTGGTTGCCATATTATCAAGGGCCCATGGAGTGTTTCAGGATGGAGTGGCTTTTCAACCACCCCAAACACTCACCCTCACCCTCACTGGACCTGCACAAAACAAAAGTTCTTACAAAAGTTCCTATATAACTGTGCATCCCTTGATTCTTCAAAATGCTGCTACAGTGAAGAGCTCTGCAGGGAAATGTACCCACAGTGTCTTCTTATTACACATGGACCAGACTTTTGTGTGATTCAAGACAGAATACCAGCCTCCGAAATAACTGTGTACCCATTAAATACAATTCTATACTCCAAAAGCCAATTGAGCTCTATGAAAGCAGGCAATGTACAGCTCTCTCTGCACTGTACCACTTCAGAATGCAGGCAGCCAAATCCCATATTAAAATGTGAAAATCCTAATAAGCAAAATTAGATGAGTACAAATTACACATGATTTACCACTCTTTCAATACTCTATCATTTCCAAGGGGTGGGGTGGTAAGTTCAAAAGAGTATCCCTATTATCTTATCTCTTTGCTACAGAACCAGATTCAAATCATTACGCTGAATCCAAATGAGCTTTCACCATGGAATTGCACTGCCTCATATGTAAATTTTTATGGGGGTTGAGAGAATGCAATCCTTGATTTGTAGCCTTCCTGTATTTCTCACTGTTGCTTCTGCCTTTTGCTTACTAGAATCCCCCATCCCCATTAAGGAAGAACAGACAGAATTGCTGCAGAACGCCTTCTTGTTGGCAGTGCTAGGACCCTCCATCTGGAAGCACCTGCTCACTTGACATGGCTGCTGCCATTTTACAAGTTTACAGAAGTCGTGCGAGTTCTACATTACACAAGTTTGGGCACCCGCAAACCTTGCAGAGCAGTCCATTCTGCCAGAACCTGTACGTGGTATTTCCTTGGTTTCAGTCTCTGTCACAGCCAGGGAACAATTCTGTAGGTTCTGGCCAGCCTTCCTCTTCCTGGCATTCCCAATTGAAATGCTAATCAATGCGTTGCCAGGCAGAAGTGAGTGCTTTGCCAGCTCCAGGGCCCGATGTGATTAATGCCTTGCACAGCATTAATTGGCGTTTTGCAAGCGTTGGCTCTGCCTTATAGGAATATTGATCACTCCGTGTTGCAAGGGGTGGTGGAAGACACCTTTTATTCAATCATGAAAGGGTTCAGTTTGCTTCTTAAAAGAGAAGAGGGGGGCAGGCCAGAGGTTCTTTCCCTATTTCGCTCTCTTGGAACATTCTACCTATAATACCTCTTCCACGTGAAGTACTTGGGCTTAAGCTCTTGCAGTACTAGGCACCATGTGGCTTGAGTCATGCTGGAATGGACTGAAAGAACTTTTGGAAAATGTTATTGAATCTAAAGCCCTGCTTGGTGCAAAGCAGACACAACGGTAAATTTATGAATCCATTTAACATAGCTTTACTCAAGCTGGTGCCTTCCAGATATTTTAGACTACAGTGTCTGCTATCCTGCCAGGATGTGACAGATAGAGTAATGGGCATCTGAGTCCAAAACATTGGGGGCAGCAGATTTGATAAGGTTTTTTTCCCCACTTTATCCTCAGAAGGGAGGCTGTTGCTGGAACTGATAGCTATATGAGGGAGCCATTTTTGGTGAACCTGCAGCTATGGAGTGAAAAAGATGGACCCGTTTGTCCTACCAGTCCTGTTCCATTCAATCATAGATTGCCGCCTCCTGTTCCGATTCAGCCCCATGTATTTTGTTGCTGTTATGTGACGTCATCTTCAGCTTATGGCACCCTTGTGAATGAATGCCCTCCAAAATTCCTGTCCTTGACAGCTCTGCTCTGGGATTTTAAAAGCAAAAAAAAAAACTAGGGAAAGGAAAAAAAAAACCAGATACTGCCATGGCAGCACCAAATACCAAGGGATTTTTTTCCCACAGAGAAAGCACATTAGGGTAGCCATATGTCCTGCCTGCCTATTTTGAAGTCCTCCTTTATTTGAAGGACATTATTATTAGTATATTACATTTCTATACCACCAGAAGCTGAAGCACATTTTAACTCACCCATCCAGATTTCAACCAGGCCAACCCTGCTTCAAGATTAAGCAGAATCAGGCACTTCGGGCTATACGGAAGCTACTAGTCAGTCAAAGTACAACTTAAAGACCCAGAACCATATTAAGAAGGGAGAAAGTTGAAGCTGCCTATCAAAAGTTTGTGCCTGGACATTAAACCAAACAGGTACACAGACTACCTGTTCACTGTTTTTCCCACTAGGTTGAGATGTGCAGTGTTTTGGCTTAAATTATAGCCATTATCTCTAAATCCATTATGTCAAGATATAAACTAGCACATACAGATGTGTGTCCTGCTTTTGATGATGCATTTCCTCTCTTTGCTGATGTGTCAGTGGCCATGTGGAGGCACATTCAAACATGTAGCTTTCAAACTGCAGCATGAAGTGGTCCAGCCCAAAAAGGAAAACAGCTGCCTACTATCCCTACCTGTGAGAACAGAATCTTGGCCACAAACCTAAAACAAAGCAACTTATAGCTTCTTTGCCTCAGTTACCCACTGGCACATCAGATTAACTGAAGATTTATCTACCTGTCTGACTCACTATCTTTCCTGTTCTCCTAGCCAGTCAGTCTCCAGACAGATCTGCAGCACAGTTCTGTGGCCTGTGCAGGATACAGAGAAGGCAAAATCAAGGACTTAAGTTTTTTCTGATAGAAGTTCCATTATTCCAGCAGTGAAAGGTGCATTCTCAGCCAAGCACACTTCATACTTACTTGCTGTATTTGTCATCATATTTGCAAATATAGCTAAGATGAGCAGCAAAAGCTTCTACTGCCAGCGGGCAAGGAATCTCTCCACTTTTCCTCTTAATTATAACACCTGTTTCAATAAAGAATAAAAACACAATTTGTTGCTACTTGCAGCTAGGCATCGTGATCTTGGCTTAAACACAGTAACCTGGTACACACAACACCGCAGCCGGCCATGGCTTAATGTGCCCGTGGGGACCATTTTTGTGTGGCATCCAGATAGCCAGCTTGCTGTGTCATGGAAAACCAGGCAGCAGAGCTGGTTTGATGCTTAGAAATCCCTCAACACATTCTAAAAGAAGCTGTGCTTCACCAAATAATAAACCATGCAAAGAACTTCATGACAATTTGAGCAGTTCAGTTGTGCTAGAGTGGTTTTTTCTTTTAAAACCAGATGGATGCACTACCCCCAACATCTCTGTAAGTCAGGGGCTTACTTTTTTTTATTATGCCTCTCTGTAGACCAATGGTACTATAAACAAACATACGTAACGTATCTGTAGCACTGAATTCAAAGTGTTCTAAAACCATTCCCATTCTCCAAAGAAATGGTTAAATACTTCTAATAGGCCTGTATTAAAATGCTCCAGGGATTCTAAGGACATTTATTTATTTATTTATTTATTTATTAAAACATTTTTATGCCGCCCCATTCGCCGAAGCCTCGGGGCGGCTTACAACAAAAACCTTTTAACCTTTTAATTTATTAAAATTAACCTTATTAATTAATTAATAATAATAATAATAACCTTATTAATTAATTAACCTTTTAATACAAGAGTAGCTCCTGCAAAGGTACTCTTATCAGCACTAAATGACTCAGTTGTGTTCAGTGGGACTTACTCCCAGGCAAATGTGTACCGGATTGCATCCAAGCATTTCCCTTACAATGGGAGTGGGCAACCAGCAGCTCTAGAGCCATATGCAGCCCGCATCTTTATTTATTGCACCCCCTGAACTAATTTCCAAGGCCCTCTCCATGCAAACAATGCAGACCCTGTTGAAAGGAAGAAAGTCTGCTGTGTGGGAAGAAAGAAGGAAGGAGAGAAAATAAGACAGTGGAAACAGGAAGGGGTGATTCATCCACTTGTGTCTCTGGTCCTACCAACTGCAGACATGCAGTCCCCAACAGATTACCCACAAAACAAAAATGCTCCCCATAGAAAACCGGCTGCCCACGCCATCTTACAGTCAAGGGGACTTAGGCTCAATTGATAAGTGAGGTGAAATATGTAAATATGTCTCTACAGTTAACATCTCTGCATATCAAACATATTTGCTTTTAGTGTGCAGGGTGTTGTTGTTTTTTAAACAAAATAGCATCAGCTGGAGTATGTGTGAGAGATAATTAATGGAAAAGAGCAGGCACAGAGAGGGAATTTAACTGGTTTCTCCCCTGTTGTAACCAGTGATGCCAGAGGGACTTGGAGATTTCCTCTCAGAGCAAATGAAGGGGTTTTTTCATCAGGCCATAGCACAACAGGAAAAGCTTCAATGCACCCTCCACGATTCTCTTCTGTCAACATTTGGTATGTTGGCCGTGTCTAGTTTGTTCCTTAATTGCCCCTAGGATTGCAGTCCGGACCGCACTTTTTCATTTGGACTCAGAGTCCCACCCCGCCTTCTAACACAAAGCCAAGTCACTTAGTGGCAAATGCCACTCACCTTGCTGAACTGGAGAATAAGCATTGGTCAAAAAGCGAAAATAGCCTTTATTGTACCAGCAGATCAGGGACATATTTCCCTTCATCTTTATCCTGTATTGTCCTCGGGACTGAGGGGCATCTGAGTTGTTTAGCATAGATGAAGGAAGGCCCGTGCAGTCACTTTTTCTTGCACTTAGCAACCCACAGCAATAAATATCTGCAAATGAAGATGACAAAACAATTCTATTAGCAAGCTGCCTTGCGGTTCCAGAACAGTCATTTGCTGACCTTCCAGACTGGAAGAAGCTAGCTAGCTGTTGGCCATCCAGTGACGAACAATTTTCTTATCTCAGTAACACTTACCAGATGATACTGAAGTCCAAAAGAATTGTCTAATTGTCCATATGGTACATGGGATTGTAACATATTTTCAGTGGACAATATTAATTAGAAATGGGAACACTAAAGAAAGAAACTTCTTTACTTGCACCGTTAGAATTCAGCTGGATCAGACCAAAAATCTAGTTTGCTATTTAGTTCCCACACTGGCTGGGAAAATGCCCATCTAGACCTAACGATGTGTGGACCACGGAGCTGTGGCTGGCAGTTTGTGGCCTACAGGATGTGCCACCTCCCTGCCCTGCCTCCCCAAACACAAAAGGAGGGTGCCTGAGTTTAAATATATTGATTTGTCAGTCATGCCACAGTAAAACTCACACTTCTCTATGTCTATTACAGAAATCCAATTTTCTCTAGTAACATAAAATGGGGATCACTTAGCAGTGGAGGCAGGTGAGGTCTGGAGTTGGTGGGGGCAGCTTCCTTCTTTTGCTTGTGCAAAGCATGCATGGCTACAAAAGTTGTAGTAATGAACACATACAACACACATGTTCTGGTTTTGTGTGCATACATGCACACTTTTAGTCAGGGGTTCTCTTTCTACCCCAGGGTCCATTTGAGAAAACTGAAAACTAGTGAGTCCCTGCCTCCCTAGTCATAAAAGGATGTTGTAGGGCCAGAGATGGTTGCAAAATGATGACAGATGGAGGTGGAGTTTAGTACAATCAGCATGCCATTATTGCTATAATTTTATAGCAGTATCTAAGCCCTCCTTGAAAACTGCTAAATTCTTTGCCAGCTATTTCACTGTGGCAGGGAGTTCCTCAGGTTAAATACAGATGCTGGCTCAGGAGGTACAATGACTCAAATTTGAGATGCTCAAATTCTGGCTGAGCTCATGGTCACTTCTCTGTGGATCTATCAGGATACCTGCTTTTATTCATTTTACTTTTATTCGTCCACTTTTTATTGCTTTAAGTTCAGATCTGCCCCCTCTCTCTGGTTCTTAGGCTACTTTCCTATTAATTTCAGCAGCTTCCCTTCTGGGCAATTAGTGTTTGTGGTTGGCAATGCTCCCAGTGGCAGCCATGTTCTGAATGAGCAAGCCCCTCCATGGCAGCCCATTTATGAGAATCCCCCTGGCACTGTCGATATTTCAAATGTGCCCATCCAGCCAAAAAGCTTTAGGGACCACTGCTCTATGTAGAGCAAACCTATTTTGTGTCATTTTCCCCATGCATGCATGCCTCTCAAAGCCTTCTTACCCATTTCTGTAACTTCTTGTCCCTTCCCCTTCATGAGAAACTTAAGCCTAAGAGCCAGCGCCTTCCATCCCTTCTGCCACATCCTTTTACACTCATTTCTTCTGAGAACAGTGTTCTTCTCTTGTCCTATTCCTTTATTCTATTTTTAAGGGTTACTATTATTGAAATATTATTAAAAACGGTTGTCTCATGATTTACCCATCTCCCAGTGCCATGGCTGCCTATGGACTGGATCAAGCCACTGCTGGTTCCCAACCAACCGTTCAAGAAACTCTGAGATAAAGGTTGGGAATGTTTGCACATTGCATGAAGCCACCCTATGAACAAGCTGCAGAAAGAAGCCTCTGAAAAGGACATGTAAAAAAAGGAAGAATGAAACTCCCTCCTTTCTGGAGGAGCTGGAGACTTGGGACACATTGAAAAGGTGGAGGGCCATGGCTCTGTCAGTTCAACACTTAAAAAGATCACATTGTTAGGGGGAACTATGCTGTCCCCCCTCTTTGGTGCACTTTCTTGTTTTTCCCAACTGAAAGTGCTTTTCAACTGACAACAGGGCAATTGGTCCCGGGAAACTCTGCACAAATTTGCCTATATGCAGTCTCATCCTGTCAGTTTCCTTGCCTTTTAGCTTACCCCACTTCAAGGCTTCCTTTGACGGCTGAAACAGGTAAGGATATTTACCAGGCGAGAGTGTGCGCGATCCTGAATGCACTTGTGAAAGACCACCACCACAATAAAAAAGTTAACACAGCTGCCCAATTTTCAGGGGCCATTTCTGTTTCAAGGATGGCGAACCGGTGAGGCTTACTCCCAAGTGCCACCTGGGCATCAGTGAAGGGGCAGGCACTGGCAGCAGCATGGATGCGCCTGCAGGGGGGTTTGCTGCTCCTGGCGAGCAGCTCGCCACCCTGTCCCCACAACCCATAATGAAATTGCTCTCCCGGGATGGGCGCGATGACACTCCATCATGGTGGTATGAACAATTCCTAGGGCAAGCCATGAGCTGTCAGGTGGCTTGTTCTGGAAAAGCAACCCACCCTGCAGCAGGCAGTCCAGATTTGAACAGTGTGACAATTCACCATGGCTTGTTACACAACAGTTGTTGTGTTATGCAAATCAGGTGACTGCATGCTAGACAAAAGCCTTCCACTAGCACTTGCCTGTAATATATTTTCCAAACGCATTAATCCACCACTCCTCTAAAAATGACTCACTTCTTGTCTTGTTATCATCCTAGATCCAATATTTATCCCTTACTTGGTAAATAAATTAGGCACCCCACAGCCAGGCTACAAGATACCTCTGGAATTGCTAAGTTCCCTGCAAAAAAAAAGCGGGGAATGTCCCTTTACATAAAAGATTCAAAGCTACAGCCATGAATATGTAGCCAAGCTGATAGCACTTCAGTCGATTTTCCCAGGGAACCGACATCAACTAACTACTCTTATCATGACAGTCTACCAGTGAAGTACTTAAAAGTAATATATAAATAAATTATAAATGCAAATGTATAGTGACATCTATTATTAAGTGTCATTATAAATTAATATAATACTAATTTATAATATATACACTATATTTATTCTCCAAGCTAAATACTAATTCTATTTTTCCATAGAAGTGAAGTTTTTCTTAACCAAACAAATATATAGACTATTTCTGACACGTGTGTATTCTGCTCAGGTTCAGAGTTTCCCAGTGCAAACAATCTGCAAACTGGGGGCTGTGTGAGGCACTATTGTACAAAGACTTTACAGAGTGCGACTCGCATCCCAGGCCCCACATTGCCAACTTTAACCAAACCTATGCCTGGAGATCTCTTTCTCAACCTGACATATTTTACACAACACCAGAATGCTAACATCTCCAGGATTGCTTTCAACACTCCTCTAGTGATTAATGCTGATTCCTGGAGACCTCGGGCCAGGCCTGGAGGGATGGCAGCTGCACTAGAACTGAACACATTTATACTTTTGAAAACATTCGTGTTTGCTTTTAATTATCAAGGAAGAACATAAGACACCTCAGAGAGCTACGCAGCCATGCAGCCAGATCCCTGGGTGAATCTGAGCTGCTCAGTCTCCAAGCCTTTGTGAGGATAAAAGGGGAAACATTTGGAGCTGCTTGAAGAGAAGTGGCACTAATTTGAACATATCGCCTTGGTGAGAGGCAGGGAGGAGACAAGGGGTAAACATTTGAACATAGAAAGCTACAATGCTGGGCCTACCTTTTTTTATAACAACTGGGCTATCAGAGGAACCAGCCCTTGCAAAGAGAGGTGGGATCCACTCTGTGAGGGGCGCCTTTTCTCCATATGGTAGGAGGTTCCTCCCTAGGCCATGAATTGGAGGGAAATGGTAGCAAAGAGCTATCTTGGGGTTGGCCCCCCTCAAGGCTGGCTGAATGTATGTGGCTGAAAATGGCCTAACAACTGTTGGTAGCCTCAGCAGAAAGCTTTAATAATTCCTTGGGAAAAGGGGACCCAGTAATGAAGCTGGTAATATGGGCCATCCTTGACTGAGAAGACCAGAGCCATGGGACTCTCTAGCCTGTAGGTCCCTCCCTCCTGCCCTGACAGGATCAGGTTGGGCTGAATGAAAAGCCAGCTTGAAACAAGACTCCAGCATGAGAGAGAAGCAATGGGACAGGATGACAAGGAGAAAACTGGGATTAATTTAATGCAATCAACACTTTATATATATTCCTTTTTTCTTGTGGGGGCCCAAGTTCCATCTGACCTTCTGGAGAAGCTTCACTGCTACCCTGCTCATGAAGAGGACGTTTAATTTAAATCCACAGCCACAATAACAGCCACAACCTCAGACATGATGCATTTTCCTCCTTCATAGAGGATTCATAAAATGGGGGAATAATAATATATATTATCGCAGTATAAGTGCTACTCACATACCGGCTCTCTAAGGCAAGAAAATAATGAGGCATCCCAGCTTTATAATTCGGCAAACAGTGACTGTTTTATCAGTAGCCACAGATTCAGTGCCACTGCTTGGTGCATGTAAGTGCCAAGCTTTAAAAAACCAAATCTGTGACTAAAACTCGTAGTCTCAACCAATGGCAGCTTCCTGTCAGGAGAAGCCACATGGTGTTTTGGCCCATCCTCCTTTGGTCATGCCGTCTTGGGCTACTGTGGAGCAGAACTGAAATACTGCTTGCTCCGCCAGACAAGGGTGGAAGCAAGAGGCACTTCACCTGTAGCACAGGAGCAAGGGCCGGATTCCTGCGCTTCAGGTGTAGCCCAGAGGTGCCATCTTGCTTGTCATTTGGCTGCTCTTCCCCAACTCAGCGATTAAATTCACATTACGTACTTTCTCATTCTAAATGCCACAAAATGGAAATACCTCCGAGGTCAACACAGGGGTGGGCCTGTTAAGCTGTTGTCGCAAAAGCAAAAGAGCACTCATGGGCCGTTAAAAGCCTAACAGTGTTCATGTGGTGGTATGTTTTTTGGGGACTACCGGTCCACCCACAGGACTTCTGTTGTTCAAATGCAACACGCTGGCCAGCACAAACCTTGCTTCTCAAACTCTTCAAAGAGATTCAGGCTGGTGATGCTGGGGCCTGTGAAGATAATGTAGTTTTTTCCTGTGGCATTCTGGCAAAGGCTCTTGGCCACCATGCTGTGGAGCTGGTTTTTGTTCTTCAAAGCATCCAGACCTTCAGTCCCACTTCCTTCTTTCAGGTGGACATAGATCTTAACAACCAAGCAGGGGTGGGGGAAACAGCAGGGAGAAAAGTCAATGTTTAAGAAAGGCTAATAGTAACCCTCTTGCCCTCTTATTAGATGAGCCTAATAAATACCCACATTGCATTAATGCTAATCAATTTTAAGGCCTCTTGGTCCTTCAAACCTTCTGCTAGAACAGCAACAAAAAATTCCATTCCATTACTGAGCAGACAAGTATCACTTGCTGAAATGCCATTTTTTTGACCTGACCTGTTTTGCAAAACGATTAGAATATTATACATGAAAAGGGCTGCCAAGCTTGAAAGTGAAAGTGCTTGCTTTTGGTTAGCTTGCTAATCATGCACCCTTTGCATTTCTCTGCTACTGCTTTCAAACCATGATCAGAAACACAGCTCAAGTACTTCATCTCGCTGTGCAGCTAGAAAAGACGTTGGTGTTTCACAAAGACTTTTCAGCCATTGGGCAGCCATATTCTCAGGGGCAGATCCCAGGCTCTGGAAATGCCAGGCCAAGGGAGTTCAGGCTAGCTTTATCTCTGCGGTCCTTCTGCCAAGTGATAACACGTTTTTATTCAAAGAGGCTTTTGGCTTGTTTGCTGAAGCCAGTTTTAACGGGTGAGTGTTCCTTATTTCTCATCTTTTATAATGAATTCTTAAATCTGTTTCTAGTTGCCTTTTTCAGGATTTAATTATAATTTTGCATTTTATCTGCATAGCATCATTTTTTGCCACCTTAAGAACTATTGCTTAGCAGAAAGGGAAATGAATCAACAAATCCATAAATATTTAGGATTTCAAAGTGCTGTTTGAGCTGCGGCACATCTCATAGGTATCCTGTGCTTGCAACATTTCCCCAGAACAAAACAACAGTCTCTTCCCCCTCTCCCACATGCCATGTCCCTGTATAATTAGATGCAGCAGCTCCACAACCTCTCTTATATTTGAGGTTTTCCTGTGGCTTACTAGATTCAACATGAGTTTATGATGTATGTTCAAGAGCCATAAAAGTATAGAAGCTGATGAAGCAATAGCAGTTTCACAATGCTTTCATACCGATGCTGGTTTTAAGAAGGAAAGTATTAGACTGGGTTTGAACCAGAGAATCTGCACAATACCAAACCTATAGAGTAGGCTTGATTGGGTTTTAATTGACCAAGGGACTGTTCCAAGCCACTAGATTCTTGTTTGGTATTACTGTTTTGCATGGTCTAACTCAGCGATAGGGAACATGTGGCCTACCAGATGTTGGATTGCAAATCCCATCAGCCCTGGCCAGCAAAGGCAATGGGGTAGGTTAGGATCAAAACATCTGGAGATTCACAAATTCCTGATATCACTACAGTCATTATGCCATGCAGCACTTGCCCGGCCCAAACCTGACCCACACAAAACAGCTTCCAGGAAAGCAGCACTGCCTTTGGTTGCATTTTTAAAGCCAATTTTCACAGATATTACTGATTTCTCTATAATAATAGTAATAATCCGTGCACAAATCGATGCCTTGGCCCATGCTTGACAAGGAAGCTTTCCCACATGCCCCTCATGAATGGATATACTTTGAGCCATGGTTTAATTAATACTTGGAACAAATTTCTCCGATGCTCAAGCAAAGCAATCTGCAAATCTGCAAGTGTTATTTAGAAGAGTGACACCAACTGAAAGCAGGCCGTGGCAGAAAGAAGCCTTTTCCATTCATGAAACACAGATGAGATGATGCAACTGTTCTGACTTCAATTCCACAAATTTATATTTTTACAAAACTCTGTTTTAGGGTTAAACAGAAATACTTCCCTCTATATGATGGGGAACAAATGGTTCTCTGATGCTTCATGAAGAGAGAGATGGTTAACACTCCTGCAACCTTGTCCTTGAAAAGAAAAGTCACCCCAGGCTGATATGGTACTCTCTCAAAGCAGAACAAGTAAATCAATTAGGACTTAATGAGAGACCAAGTAAGCTTATTCATGATGGGAGGACAGCCAAAGTCATCCCAGTTTTGATGTAGCACCTTTCCAGTCTGTGCACTTTTGACTTTAGCTTGCCTCAGAATTATAAAGATTTTACATTTCATGTAAAAAGAGTTACAGGGAAGAGGAGGGAGAAAGGAAAGAAAAACGTGACATTCAGGACCCCCCTCTCTCTTTCTCTCTCTCTCTCTCACACACACACACAGCTGTAAGGGCCTCTTGTGATTGTATCAATGGAGACAATCTCAAGTCTCCAGAAACAGGACTCCTGGCAAGACGCAAAAAGTTTGCACTTTTTCAAGTTAGCACTCAGCACTGCCGAGATCATCAAGAAAGCTGGCATTGGATTGGCGGGACTGCACTGCAGCAAGAGTGAGATGCTTCGCTCCCACATCTGGGGCTTAATTAAATTGGAGATACCAAGTGCCTGTTAAAGTGCATTGGCACCCACCTGGCCATTATTTTAGTGTCTCATTTGGAAGTTACTTCCCCTGTACTAGGGCCTCTACTGATTGATAAGTTGGAACAGATTCAGAGATGAGTTGCAGAGTTCATAAAGGGCAACCCTACAAGGATAAGCGGAATTAAATGGAATATGTTTAACTCGGGTAAAATAAGATTAAGGAAGGACAATTATCAAACATTTAAAAGTATAACAGGCTAGAAAATGAATAAACCATTCTTTACCCTTGCCCACCAAGGACAGGACAGGACAGGAAACTGTCATTTTAAATGCCAAAGTAGTATGTTTCCTGGCTGCAACAGCAATTCCAGCATGCAACTTGTTCCTTTAAGCAACTGTAGCAATTCTGTTGTTGGGCAGCTTACAAAGAGAGTTTGGGCACTTGAAATGCTTCAGTCAGGAGAGCGAACTTGACTAAAGGATGAACATTTGGTTCATCCACATGCTGTAATTCCTGCCAGGGAATCAAGGCAAGAGTGTTCTGGTCCATGCTGTGATTCTTTTTGTGGTGAGGCTACAGAGTGGAGGAAAAGGAGGCAGAGCTACTCCCAGGGTCCTTTGCTGTCATTTCCCAAGGCAACTCCCTGATTTTTCCCGGTCTGGTCTGGCTATAAATCCTTCTAGGTTTTGTGTGGGTCTCTGTGTGGGCAATAACCTGATTTTGGCTTGCTTGGGTTTCTGTTTCTCAGTCTGCCTAGGTGCCCAGTCATCCATTCTCTGATCTCACTGCCTCCCTTTCCTTTTCCTACAATACTTACCTACTTGTTTCTTTCTGTTCCTACTCCAACCTTCTTGAAACTGTCTTCCTTACTGATACTCAGGCCTGTGGCTGATTCTGCTTCTCAACTGAATTTTCTGTGCTATAGTGGTAAGAAACAGAATTTCTGCTGCTGGGCGAATTTCTGGTGCAGGCACCACCTTCAAAAGATAGGTTTTCTTCAGGACAACAGCAGCAAAGGCTGGATGTCACATCCAGCTTGATCTGTTTTTAAGAACTGATCCTCACATGGTACCAAATATGTGGCTGCCAGATGTATTCAGGTCAGAAATGAAGTTTGATTAGGACGATTGATTCATGCAAGAGCTCCATCAGAGATCCCTTGCTCACTATCAAGTATTTCTTAAAATTTGCATCTGTTTGGCATACCATAATAAATCCTTTGCAAATTTTAATACCGAGTGCACAACAGAAAAGGACTATTATTGAAGCTACTGTATAATCAAGATTTTGGCTGTCACTGAACCCAATTCAACACTTGTACCTGATTTCCTGAGTTCAGTGGGTCTGCTCTAAGTAGGATTAAATCTTGGTCCAATCCTGGAATAACAGATTCCTATACTTGCATGGGATACCTGACTTCTTGACAGGTAGGATCCTCCTCCTACATAATAGGTGTCAAAATGCTTTTGATATGACATGGAGAGTCTCCTATTCAGTAAAATAGGAGACTCTCCTAGTTCATTGAATAGGAAGTGGCTAAATTCCACTGGGAATGCCCAAGCCCTTGGGCAAACCAGAGGCAGCTCTTTGGATCCCAGCCTGCATCAGTAGCAATTGTTCTGTTGGGATTATTCCCTCACACAGATAGTGGCAGAGAGACTACCTTTCTTCTCATTTAGCTCAATTATCTCTTTGTAGGAACCCAATACTTAGATTCAACTACAGCCTCTTTTTGGTACATTGAGCAAATTATTGTTTTCCTCCTTCACAGAGCAGCAGGCATTCTGCAAATAAGTGGTTGACTTCCATGTGGCCTTTGTATAAATGCACTCGGGAGGTCGTCAACATAAAACTGAAGGCAGTATTTAAGTCTACAGTTACTGGGATGGGAAGTGGGGAAATCTCACATCTGTTTTTGCAGCTGTGATATTGATGGGTTCACACTCTGAAGTGTTCATTTTCACAACTTTTTCAGAAGCCTTTTCCACCTGACCCTTTCAAATAGGAAGACAGAGCTGTCAAGATGTGCATAGACGAAGGCTCTGGAGATTGTTTTGAAAATTATTTGGATGCAAGTCAAACCTGAGTGTCAATTTCATTATTTTACTCAAGCTGTTGAGCTTGATCCCGTGATGCGCTGAATGTCATCCATTTTCATTGACTCTGACAGTTTGAAGATGTATGTTAATGGAGATGGACGGAGGGCAGAAAATGATTATATTTAGAGCTCTGTATATCTGGAACTTTTCCAGCAAGTCTATATTCTGAACAGATCTCATGTCTGATCTATACCTGTTCTCCTTCAATGCCAAGGTCCATGCAGGTCAACTGAAAGCCTGTTCTTCGAGAGGTCTTTGTGTGTCACACACATGGGCTTTGTGTTTGCACAGGGCCTGTTTTAGGAAAGCTTCTACAGCTAAGTGTTCAATTGGGTGGGGGTCTGTCCCCTTCCTGTTCCCGGGAACTATGAGGATGGGCAGGAGCCTCTGCTTGTTTTCAACCGCAGCTGCTCCTTGATCAGGAATCACTTTTCTCTCTGCCACCCTAGTACTCAGTACTCTTTCTTATGTTTTTCTCGGGTATGTCCTCCCCTCTCTTGCTCACCACAAACCTCTCTTTGTTCCTTCAACAATCCTCCCTTTTTGCATTCTTTATTTTAAAAATCTACATATATCTTATCCACTTTACTGTCTACCACTCCTCACACCTTTCCCCGAGTGCCCTGTACATATCGTCTTCTTCCCCATTTTCCCACCTTTCTCTTCTGCATGATGGCTTTCCACAACCGTACTTACTGCAGGAGCAAGATGCCCCCATCAGATGGGCATCCCCTTTGCCTCCTGGGTCTTGGTGAGGGACACGTCACAGAGGCCTGTACTCATTGCCAGGCTTCACAAAACACACCCAGAAACACCAGGCCAACCAGCAAGAGACTTTGTTGAGGAAGAAGACCCTCCAGGGGGCTGACTCTTCCAGGAAAGGGTGGGGTTGTCCTTCTATGTCTATGACGAGACCATTTGCTGGGCAATCATGTGGCCAGGAAGACTACAAAAAGATGGCTTCCAAACTCCACATTAATCAGAAATGCTGACTGTCCACAAGGCATTAATCTTCTTCCAGACCTCCTTACATGGCCAGCACATGTGGACAACATGACCATGAAGTATTATATCAGCAAGCGGGGAGGCACAGTCCATGGCACTCACCAAACTGGCCATAACCATCTGGGAATGGTGCATCACCAAAGACATCACAATCATGGTGACTAACAGCAGGGAAGAACCATGTTCTGGCAGAAGCCCTCAGCCATGCAAGTCTGGACTCACATGAACAAAATGGTCCTCCACAACAGGTGGGGGATACCACCAGTGGACCTTTTTGCCACAGCCCACAGCACTACATGCCCCCAGTTCTGCTCCAGGGTGAGGCAGGATACTAGCTCCCTGGGGGATGCCTTCTTCCTCAAATGGATTGGGACTCTGCTCCACATCTTCCTGCCATTCCTGTTGATCACCAAGGTGATCTCCAAAATCCAGAAGGACAAGACGGACTGTGTCCTCATCACCTGCTGGTGGCCAAGACAAATGTGGTTCACTCGACTCCTTCAACGTTCCCAGGGGAACACCTCTCTCACTCCCAGGTCCTAATATCACTGGGGCCAAGTCCTTCATCCAGATGTTGGAACTCTATGCCTCATGGCCTGGAGAATCATCCCCTGGTATTGGGAGGAGTGACCTTGCCACCCGAGGTGTCATCCATACTGGACCCAGCTCTCAAACTGTTCATAAGAAAATCCTACTTGGCAAAATGGAATGCCTCCACAGCCTTCACACACCAAGAAGGTTTTGACTCACAAAGGTCCACCATTGAACAAACCCTGCACTTTCTGCACCCTCACTTCCAGGACAGCCTCAGCCTTTCCTCAATCCATGTATATCTGGCAGTCATCTCCTCCTTTCACCCATCCATTGAGGGGGCACCTCTTTTTGCAACACTCTAGTATGCTGACTGCAGAGAGGGGCTTCACAACATTGTCTCCTCCACTTGACTCTGCATCCTGGCATGGAGCCTGTTGATAGTGTTACAGGCTCCATGCCAGGATGCAGAGTCAAGTGGAAGAGACAATGTTGTGGAGCCCCTCTCTGCAGTCAGCAAAGAGAGGCTCTGGCCAGCAGAGAGGGGCCTTGGCCGCAACCAACCTGGGCCTCCAATCTTGGAAGGTGGCCTTTCAAGTGGTCATTACATTGGCCTGTCACACCAGTGAGCTCTGTGCCCTCTGGGCAGGACCCCCTGCCCATACCTTAACTTCCACAAAGACAGTACTTCTGCAAGACAGCTGCAGAGTAGCCATGTGGTCCATGCCCTTGACATTTGTCAGACACTACAGGTTGGGCAGCCGTGCAAGGGCAGAGTGAGCCTTTGGCAGGACAATCCTCTCCTCCATTCTACATTGACAACAACATCTCTCCATCCTTCACAGGATAAGCTAGCTAGTTCCCCACACATGTGATGCACAGAGACCACAAAAAAGAAAGGCAGGTTGCTTACCTGTAACTGTCATTCTTTGAGTGGTCATCTGTGCTTTCACACAACCCACCCTTCAACTCTACTGTTGTTTCTTCAAGATTGCCTCCTTATTCTCCATGGATGCTTGGGGCTGGACTGCACTGGGGCCCTCTTTCCTCCCCTGGATCTAGAAAGCCATGACAGTCTCCCTAGGAACTGAGGTGAAAGCAACAGGATGGGGAAGGGCTCCTGCCCAATCGAACATTTAGCTACAGAAGCTTCCCAACAATAGGATCTGTGCAGGTCCAAAGCCCATATGCATGATGCACAGACGACCACTTGAAGAATATAGTTACAGGTAAGCAACCTGGCTTACTTATCATACCCTGGTCCCATGATGTTCTTTTAATGGATAAAGACAGAAACTGTGATGAAAGAGTTGGAGATACGGCTACTTCTCATGCTAGTGGGAAGGGGCATAATGTTAGCATAAAAACTGATGAGGATGGTAAGATATGTGTTTCCCACTTCAGATTACAAGCCAAGTGCAATCTTCTTTGAAATTTGCACCCAGAGTGTAATGGTTTCAGTATCAGCACTGTCAGAGCCCTTCCCGCCAGTTCCCTTTCTCTTCCTAAAGAAACTTACCCATGTGAATGGGAGGAACAGGTAGCAAGAAAGGCTTGCTGGAAACAGAAGTCTTATAGGTCTCATTCTTAAGGTCTTGACACTTTTGCTTAAAAATGACATTTGCTGCTGGAGTTCTTAACTTGCTATGTCCCTTGGCCTAATTCATTGAATCAGGGGGTATAAGAAAGTATAACTCATCATTTATTAGGTTTTTGCTTGAGAGAAGACTGGCGGAGTCAGCTGGAGATGAACTATATAAGGACTATTTGTTATCATTGTCATGAGTGAGATTTCTAACTGGTTCATGCAGGAAGTTGCTGCTAGGAAAGGCATATTAAATATTTTCCTTCCCACTAAAGATCTTGGGAAAGTTTTGTGAAAGCATGGACTTGTGACCAAAGTCTTTTACTGTACAGGAAAGATGCTGGCTCCCTGTTATAACCTGTTGAAAAGTGTCCCCAAAGCCCATATTCTCTATCCAGAAGCTTGAAACTGGGTTTACAGCAATTCCACTGGCTCTTACCTGGCATATGAAACCAGTGGATGAGCACTGACGAACCCAGAGACTGAATTTCCGCTTTTTCCTCTTGCGCAACTCTCGCTCTGTGCAGGTGGCAATAAAAACTGGATCTTCATCGATCAGAGGTTCATGGAGTACCTACAATCATGACAAGGTAAGAATTATTTGTTCCTTGGCAGAAGCTGTGTTTTAAATACCTCTGAGGCAAACATGGGAGAATGGCCTGAGTGTTGGACTTCGACTTATCTTCATAAAGCTGAAAATGTTATGAGAAGCCACTGGCCGAATGCACCTCACTGAATCACTATGAAGTGACATGGGTAACTCCACACAGAACTCTGACAACTCTGAGCACCTTGGGGAAACATCAGTCTCCAGATGTTATTACATAAGGATTTCTCCCTGTTTCCTCTTTTCTCCCCTGTACTGGAGAGCCAAATGCCACCTGAAATACCCAGGCAGCAAAGAAAGATTGTGATCAAATGGCTGGATCCAGACGTACTCATGCTTACAGCAAATCCACCACAATCAATATGACTTGTTCCACTGATTTCAGTGGGTCTATTTGAAGCATAACTAAATCTGGGTCCAACCCAATATATAGAAAAAGTATTATTCAAACACTACAGATTATCCCAATGCATTTTAAACTAAACCTTTTCAAGGGTTGATGTCCGTTCTATATAGATGGTTACATATACATTTATTAACATGCATTACATATATACATACATATTGTGCAAATGCACATGGACACACATATTGGAAAAATGCAGAAGTCTGTATGGTCTACTTCACTGTCTCCAGTATAACCATTACAATTGCCTCAGATCTGGGGAGATATCCACTGTCTTTACTTAGTCCTTCTTGCTCCAATTAATTATCATTAGTGAAAACATTTTCTTTTAGCACTGATGAATTTCTAGGCTTCAAAGTGTGGCAAAGAACAGCTTGCCTATAATGAACTTGCTCCCTCTTGAGAACATCAGTTTGGTAATTTTAATTCCCTCCAGAATGTTAATCTTTGGCTGAGTTCATGGTGGGTATTGCCAGCCATATTCTGCTTCTCCAGAAACCAACAGCATGAAAGCATCAAATGACCTTTTAAAAAACAAAGGTTACTTATTCAAAACATGGATTTGTTTTGGTAAACATCTTTCATGGCAACTAACTTCTTCAGTGCATTGCAACAGGACTCAACATTGCAATTATCACACAAAATGAGATTAGCATCCACAGAGGAAAAATGTGTAGAAACAAATGGATATATATTTATTACTTTTAAAAAATCTTGCTTATCTTGGAGCCAACAGCCGGAACATCTGAAGCTGTTGGTTGAAGTCCAGTACAGAAATATATAAAAATAAATGCATCCAGCACTGGGAGAAAGCCTTACTGTTGAAACACATTGGTCAAAGGTGAGGCTGCCCGAGTCCCAATCTTCTAGTAGTGGCCGGGAATGGCCATGTTCAAACCACAGCCAGTTCGAAGATGCTAGAAGCTGCAATCCAACATATCTTGTGGGGACCAAATTGGGGAAAGCTGGCATATTTTATCTAGCTGATTACTATAATCTTATCTGCTCAGCCAGTGGAGCAGACCACAATGTATTTGTATGCCTGTCCTAAAACCTGGCAATGTCAATTAAGTCTCCCACCAATAATTGTGTACAGTACATCTTCACACTCAGTGCAGCAGCTGTCTGGAAACTTACATTATTAACTGTAACACTGGAGTGAGGTTTATGGCCTAAAAATTCAACATAATTGGGATTGCAATATCAAAGGATGATGCCTTCCTCCAGAGGTGTGAATATTGTTATTTATTTATTTATTTATTAAAACATTTCTATGCCGCCCCTTGCCGAAGCCTCGGGGTGGCTCACAGCACCAAATAAAATTATATGATAGCTTATCCCCAGCATCCTCACACAAGCCCTTAATGATCCATCAAAGATTCACATCAGCATCTGGAAGTGCATTGGCAAACACACAGATATGATTAAAATAAAAAGGAGGGGGAGACTTGTGTGAGGGGCAATTCTGTGCAAATTCTGTTTGATATTCTATAGCATATTAACGCAGAGGCAAGGCTAACTATCCCAACCAACTCCTTTCTTCTCATACTGAATAACATTAAGTTGCCAATAACTATAAGAGAAAGAAACTTTCCAAGGGCTTCTGCGTTCAGAAGCGTCTTAGGGCTAAACAAGATGTGACAAGCCTGGCAAGACAAGATAGCTCTTCGTGTTACCAAGACGTGGGTGAGGAGCTTTGGATAATAATGGAGTGAAAGGGACACTAAAGAAAAATGAGATTATGCAGAAATTGAATGGCTTCTTTTCATGTCTTTGATGCAGTAGATACAGGGCAGGTACCTGTGCCTAATGTTTTAGGAAGGGAGTCTGAGGGAAATAGTGGTAACAAAAGATGAGCTTAACTTTGGTATATACATGCATATACTGGTATATGAGCTCCTTGGTATAAACATGAGAGGAAGGCAACTGAAAGTCACTGGACCCAGATGGTAATCCATCCCAGAGTTCTTAAAAAACCTCTCAAATATGAAGTTTCTGGCCTTTTCCCCCCCTCAAAATTATGTGATCTGTATGTAACATTAGCTTCTGTATCTGTGGTTGATCTTACACTAATTTTTAAAAGGGATACAAGGGGCATCAGGAAAATTACAGGCCAGGTACTTTAACATACCATCTGTGCTGGGTACAGAGATCTGTAACAGGTTAAAGATTCTGGGGATAAATGGCAAATTGTCCCAATGGAGGCATTTAAGCAGTGGGGTCCCACAGAGATCTGCATTAGGACCAGTGCTTTTCAACCTATTCTGTTCTGCAATTAGGAACAAGCAGTGAAATGGGCAAAACTGCTGATGACACCAAATGATTCAGGGTGTTCAAAACAAAAAGGTTTCTCCAAACTGGGAGAATGGGCGTCAAAATGACAAAATGTGATTCAGTGTTGGCACGTGTCAAGTAATGCATGTTGGGCAGAAAATCCAAACTTCAAAAACCCAAATCAGTATAAACCGATGGGATCTGAGTGAATGGTGATCGATCAAGAAAGAGTCTTAAAGTTGCGGTGGACTGCTTGATGAAAGGTCAGCTGCTGTGAAAAAGGCAAACGCCATATTAGACATAATTAGGAAAGAAACTGAATATATATTATATTGCAGGTCTGCCTGGCGCCATCGTTATTTGTTTTTCAGCGCCAGGTGAAGACCTTTTTATTTAAGCGTCATTTTAATTGTTAACAATATTTGCTTATTTATCTGGCCAGGGCGACTTCTTTTACATTGTTATTTATTTTATATTGTTAATTTTATATTGTTATTCTTGTATTTTCTTCTATTTTATTAAGTTGTAAGCCGCCCCGAGGCTTCGGCAAGGGGTGGCATAGAAATGTTTTAATAAAATAAATAAATAAATACTCCCCTGTGTGGCTTCACGTAGAATACTGTGTATGCTTCTGGTCACCATACCTAAAAAAGGATATAGTAGAGTTGGAAAAAGTGTAGAAAAGTATGACTCAAATGCTCAAGGGAGTGCAGTAACTCCTATGCGTCAACGTGACAACTGATAAGATCATTTAGCTTTGAGAAAAGGCAAGTGAGGGGAGACATGATACAGGCTTACAGTATTACATGTGATGTACAGAAAGTGGACATTCTCTCCCGTTTCATAATACAAGAATCCAGGGTTATCCTAAGAAGCCATGGGTGGGATATTCAGAACAGATGACAAGACATACTTCTTCATACAGTACATAGCTAAACTATGGAACTGACCTCCACAAGATGTAGTGATGTCCATAAATTAGCATGGCTTTTAAAGGGGACTGGGGAAATTCATGGAGGAAAAGTCTATCAATGGCAGTTGCTGCAAAGCTGTTAGTCATGATTTCTAAACATATATCTATACCTATAAATCAGCATTCCTGGATTTTATGGAAATCCATGTCCCCTTTTTGGTGATGCAGCCTCCTTTTCAGCAATACAGAAGGAGGGCCCTTTTCTTGTGGTCCGATTGTTGGAGCAATTCATCATTATGGCATGCAGCTGAGGTAATAAATCCTTCCTTCACTTCCAAGTTACTTCCCCACAGTCTTTATAATCCTCTCCCAGTTGCTGTTCTCCTCAGCTGAGTTTCAATACTGGAAAGAAGGTTGGTAGTGAGAAAAGCACTTAGGGAGCAGCACTACAGGGAAGGGTGGTTTCAGCCCACCTCACCTAGATTTTGATCCCATTTCTCATTTTATGCATGATATGATTTGGCCTGATGGGTGTGCAGCTGTCACACTGAGGTGGGCCCTAATGTTACAGCCAATCATCAAACCACCTATTTGAGAATAGCTGGGATGATTCTCACAAACGTTTTAGAAAACAGGGAGGTTGTTGTTCTTGCATGCCATCAAGTTGTCTCTGACTTACGGTGACTACGAATGAACACCCTCCAAAATGTCTTGTCTTTTACAGCCCCTACTCAGCTCCTGAAAACTTAAAGCTGTGACTTCCTTTTCAAAATTGATCCGTCTCATCGGTGGTGGTCTTCTTCCCTTTAGCCTTCGACTTTCCCTAGCATCTTCTCCAGTGAGTCTTGCCCTCTCATGAAGTACAATGGCTTCAATTTTGTCAGCTTTGGTTCCAGGGAAAGTTCTGGCTTGATTTGAGCTAGGACACACTTGTTCATCTTTCTTTCAGCTGAGCATATTTGCAAAGCTCTCTTCCAGCACCATGTGTGAATGGATCTCTCCCCCCGCACCGCCACCCCCGTCCATCAGCTTTCTTCACTGTCCAGCCTTTACACCCACACATAGTTAGGGAAATGGGGTAAAGAAGGCTAGAACATCAACCATTTGGGTTCCTCTCACGAAGTTCAAACTAAGGAGAGTGCCTGGGTTTCAATGTCACTGAACACTTGAATACTCACTTTCCTGTGAAGTCATTCATTCATTTATTCCAGTAACCACATTCCTAAATTTAGGAACAACTTTATGTACCTTCCTATTTCATTTGACTATCAATTATTCTATGCATCAGCATATGTACCATTGTTAAACTTGGCATACTAGAAAATAAATTCAATATCAAAAACACCATTAAGAAAAGAGTTGCCAGAGTCAAGGGCTTTGGATAATTCATTTGAGCTCTGTGTCACAACACAGCCAAAACTGCCGTTTCAGCCTCTGCCAGTCAGAAATCTGTGCTCTTCAATCAGTTTGGAAGCCAAGCTGGCCAAGAGAAAAAGGGAATTCAAAAGGTGCATCAGTCTTCCAGGCAGGGTCAAATGCAGGTAATACTGGAGAGATCAAAAGCAGGGATTCACAGTGGACTACCTTTTCCCAAGACACACAGATTCTGCAGATTTACAGGCTTTTACTTTCTATAATTTTACACAAAGGTAGCCATTAGAAAATATGAAAAAAGTTTTAAAAGATATGCAGGCTAAAGCATGAAAATGTGTGTGGTGGTGGGCATTCACACATTTTCAAAGGTGTAAATTTGCACAAGTACAAATTTGCACAAAATGAACAGATGGTGCCTGACAATCCATGAAATGCAGATGGAGCAGTACAGATTCTATACCTTCCTAGCCAGGAGTTCAGCAGAACTTCTAGCACTATTTAATCCCGATTCAAATTGTGAAAAGGCAAAATATTCTTAGTGAAACAAAGGGAAACTGGGGAAATGCAGCATTCAGATTTACAGCAGCCTGTGACCTGGTTTGCATGATCAAATTAAGGCTGCTATTTCCCTAATGACCCAGTAAGGTGTGGCTTGTCATGTCTTCTGAGTCTGTGTGACATGGTTTGTTTGTGGGGGAAACAACCCTCAAATAATGTGTGTCTGTTGTAATTAGGGTAACAGAGCCTGACACATGCCACTGATTAAAGCAAGCCACCATGGCTTCAGTGAACCAGTCTATTATGCGAGCCAAGATCACATTTTTAAGCATCTGCTGTGAAACATATTAAAGCCTGATTCACACATACGTAATTTGATTTCTCAAATTCTTGATTACTGCCCACTGGAGGACTGGGATCTGAATGTGTAAACTGACACTGCTGAAAGCAGTTCATTGTGACGTGACACTGCTGGAAGGCTAAGTCATGACATACTTAACGCCATTGATTTCAATCAAGCCCAGGGCCAAACCAGATGCAGGGAGAGAGGCCTTAACAACGAGCTGCCATGACTTTCCTGATCAGCACCAGCCTTTCCCGTGGCAGCTCTTTGCATCAGGAAAAAGGTGCCCATTGTAAACTGCCAGGAGAACTTTGGCTAAAGGAGTACAGAAATATAATAAACAGAAATATAATAAACAGTAAATGCTCTTCCTGATACAATTGCAGCTGGTGTTAAACCAGACTAGGATCATGAGGGAGGGGGTGGATGGGTGAAGGCTTCCTTTAAAAAAAGGTCCACACGATCGTCAGCTCTATGACTTACATCACATCTAGTTTTATCCTTATCCGTCTTTATGACTATGCACATTTTTAGGTGAAGAAAGCTGATATGAAAGAACTGTTGGTATTTAGTTTGTGGATCACTACAGGTTGCCCTGCTTGCAACTCTGAACGCAAACAGAAATGAGAACACTTTAAAAAAATAATCACACATTTCTGCACTTAACACAACTGAAAAATCTGGGGGTAGTTTGAGAAGATCACACTCTGAAATACACATTTAATATGCTTTTACTCTGAATACTCTTTTTAAGGAAAAAGTTTCCGCATGACATTAAGTCCAATCATGTCCAACTCTAGGGGGCAGTGCTCATCTCTGTTTCTTAGCAGAGGAAGCCAGTGGGAAGCCTACACTTTTCCCACCTGAGGGAATGAAAAAAACAGGTCAAAAGCTAAAAGGGGAGCAAGCCAAACTCAACTTCATTTGGAAGAATGGAGAGAATGTCAGCAAGTGTGTCCATCACTGGCTCTCCCATCTCTAAGACAAAGCAGGTAGGCAGGCAAGCAACGTATGTGCCCAACAGAGATGTTACTGCAGTGCGGCATCCAGGAGTTATCAGTGGGCCCATAGTCATCAAGTGATGTCATCATGTGATGCTGGAATCATCAGATGAGGCAGTTCCAAGCACAAAACACTCTTGAGCCAAAAGAATTGGATTTAACTGCCCTCAGTGCACAGAGAGGCACAGAAACCCACCTCCTCCAGTGTTAGAGCTGATATGGCACGATGCTATACACATTTGCTTATTTGTTTTATGCATTTGCTGACACTTTTATGCTTCTTTTTAGAGCACAGTCTTCATCTAATAAGTTTGTGTATGTTGCATTTTCATTGAGGAAAAATCATCTCATCAAATTCTCATGTGTTCAAGTTTAATTTAATAATTACTGATAATAAGATAATTAGAAGGCACAAGTTGAATTAAGGGATTCCTGTGATGTATAGCTAGCAAAATTAAAATCTGTAGCTCTTGCTGCCTAATGATTTTGGTACCTCATTTATTGGTGACCGGATTCAATTAAAAGGATTAACAACAATTTAGTGAAAAGAAGCATCATACAAGAACTTTAGCTAATTTTGTAATCAAATTTTAATCAGATCATGTCTGTCTAAATTTGGGGTGAATTTGCACATACATAGCATGATGTACAACATGCATCAAGATGTATCTATATAATGAAAGCACCTCTGGTAGCACATGTAAAAGGTATCACACCAATTAAACACAGCAATGGGAAATACTGTGGATGTTGCCTTGTTAAAAGGCACACGCTTTCATTGTTTCAAATTTAGGGCTAAGTTGCAGTGGTGATTGAAAGCAAGGCCAAATGCCTGGACGATGTTCTTCATGAGAAGCAGCACCAACAAGTCAAGCTGATTGCAAGCAAGCCAGCAAGCAAGCAAGATGCCTCACAAGGTATCAGTAGAAAAATACTAAATTCTGGCTGGCCCAGCATATTATCTCTATCTCAACATACCATCTCACAAATAGTACTAAGAGGACTTCCATCATTTTTACTGTCAAAATAAAAAGTCACTTTCCTTGTTCTTATTTCTTATTCTATAACACATTTACAAAGGTGGATCAATTTTTGCTAACTTCAGATGAAATAACTTTGATATAGCACCTGTATGTTTTCCTTAACATTGCTGGCAATGATGGAATTTAATTGAAAAATGATACAGGGGAAAGGATTAACATGCCATCCCTCACTACTATTGTCCTGATGTTCACTGTGTTCATGCCTTCCAATAATAATAAAAATTATATATATGTGTGTGTGTGTGTGTGTGTGTGTGTGTATGTATGTGTGTATATGTATATATGTGTGTGTGTGTGTGTGTATAGTTGCAAATGTAGGAGATCATGATCATGAAACTTGCCATCTCATATCTAGACTGGCATAAGTTAAAAGTCATTTTCGGTGGTTCTCCTCATGTGTCATGTGTGCAGAACTTCCTTCAGCCTCAGGATCAGAAAAGCTCTTGGAAATCCAAAACCAAGCTGGGCAGGGGAGAAGGGAAAAGGGGAAGAACCAATGACAGAAACAAAAGTGCCACCACATTTTAGCTTAAATTTCTTACTAACAGTAACTAAGGCTCAGAGCAGCATTTCAGACATTAAGAACAGATCTATACTGAGGAAAAGCCAGACAACTACCACATTATCAACAGTTGTGGACAAAGAGTAGTTCTGGGGAAGGGGGAAAGACCATTTGGGATAGCCTGGAGAGCTGAATTAGAGCCCCAGGTGGGGCAGATTTGGCCAATGGACCCAAGATTCAATGCTCTGCCATATGTGATTACCACTGCATTAAGAGGAGAACAAGGACCAGTCTGTTGGCCCAGGCTCTCCTGTGTGTCTCTTCTCACAGCATCTCTCAAAGTCCTTCACTCCTAGAGGCTCCTTGCATGCTTTCGAATACTGATCTCCCAGCTTCTAAATTGCAGGGGAAATCTATGTGTTTAGAAGGCGTTCCTGCCTTCAGAAATTACCTCTTCAGTGTGCAACGGAGGTAATGTGCAATGAGGTCAATGGGCTTGCACCCACACACATTTATGAACCTAGAAAGGAAGAAATATGACACTGAGAAATGAGGGTCACACTACGAAGCTGCTAAATGCTGAGGACAAACGAACCGAAGGTTCCATCATGCCTCTAAGTGTGGATGTGTCACCAGACACTGTTACCACCTCCAACTCCTGGATTAGTGCAACTGCACACATATTTGAAAACAGGTAAAACATACTGGGCATGCACTTTAAAAAAAAAAGAGTAATGTGCAGTCACACAAGTTCCCCTTTATTTTGGACTAGGAGTTCCTACCTCATTGATCAGCTCTTCATTCACCTACCAGGTAAATGTATGTCCTGCTGTTTTTGTCCAAAACGGAGTAAGTTAAGAATGTCCATAACCAAAAAATCAACACTCACCTGGGTTTGGGAAGGCTTAAAAGCCACGTCGAAGCTCTTTTGCAGAGAGTCCAGAAAGGGTTGGATTTTGTACAGGCCATGTGTAGTCTGACTCGAACGGAAGGCCACAATATGGAAGTACTTGAGGATCTTCTCAAATCTTGACTGGGTCATGATCAATGCTATGCTCTTGTTGCTATAGAAACCACTACTCCAGATGCTGAGGACAGACTCGCAGTGGTGAGTGCTTGTGGATATCATATATGCAAGGAAAGCCTTAATTTCTGTCAGGGTTACATCAATCCAGGCATCATCACTCCCAAATCGCTCCTGGTACTTCTTGGCATACATATTTGTTTGCACCACCATGTTCTTTAGTATGTTGTCAGGGACAAAGAGTTGGAAGAAATCCATGGCACTGGCAGTCAGTGGCATTTTGCAAGTCGGGCCTAAAAGTAAAAAATGAGATGCTCACACTATGAGTAACATAGCTGAGAACTGGATAATTATGCTTAGGTCTTCCACTTCCATTCAAATGAAGGACTGTTTCTTACTAATTGGTAGTCAGAGGTATGCTGCACCAGTGGTAAAATTAATCAGGGGAGATCATTTTAAAAATCTGTACCAGCCCAATCCAACTTCAGTGCCAAGAAAAGCTGAATTCTGTGAAGATTACACAAATTATGCAGTTCATTGGTATAGCTGATCTTATGTTTCCTTAATTAACAGTGCAATCCTGTACATGCCTATGCAGAAGAAAGCCTCACCGAATTCAATGGGACTGACTGCGCATAGGTGTACACAGGATTGTATCTTTAGTCTGCATTTACCATAGTTTACTAATGCTAAATCATGGGGAAAGAGGTGGTGTGGGAATAAAATACACACGATACAGAAATCCTTCTTCCATCCAATAGAAATCATGTAGTACAATCCTATACAGTTTATTTTATCCCTATGCTATCCCATTTCAGTCTTTTCAAGAAAATTTTCCATTCCTGATGGGCAGATCAATACTAAGCCGATTGGCTAACTAGGCAACGTAAATCTCCCACAAAGGAATACATCTGCACTGTGGGTTGAAAAGGTAGATGGACATGACAGGAGTCTAATAAGCCTGTACTCTTTACACTCTGTTCTGGCTATGATAAGAACGCCTGCTTCCTGTAGTCTTCTTGTGGGATGCTACATACAAAGGCAGCGAAGAGCAGAAGAAAGACCGAGAGAGAGCAAAGGAGAAACAAACAAAACACACATCCAATTTGCCAGCCTGCATTATGGTTCAAAAAACTTCAGTGTATCACAGGGAGCTAAGCAGGATGTGCATTCACAATTTTTTTATTATTATTATTTAAATAATTTTAATTTTTAAATAATTTAAATAATTTTAAATGATAATAAACCACTACAAAAGAACACAAATATAAAATACATAATAAAAATAGAAGTAAAGGCAACACAAGATACAACCCCCCCATATAAAAACAACTAGTGTACCCCTCCCACAGAACCATGGCTGCATAATATTTATTCATTTCTTCTTTGCTTCTAGTTCTAACTTTCCACTCTTTCAGGAATACCCCTTTCCGTCCAAAATTGCACTAAACAACCAAAGTTTAATACTCTTTCATTTTATTAGTACATATGCAATAAATAAATCCCATATATTATTAAAATCATTCTCTTATCAATCCTTTTTTCATCCTAATCCCACATCTCAATTTATCATTAACAGCTGTATCCCAAACTTCTTTATACCATTCAATTAACTGAAGATCCCCTTTCGCCTTACAATTCTTTGCTATTAACAATTTTTCTGCTGTTGCCAAATTTATTATTAATTCTTCAATGCTCCATTTCCATTTCTTCTTATAAAATATTAACAACAATGCTATTTTGGGATATGCCTTAATTTTTAAGTACTATATCTCACCAAACCCTTTAAGAACCATTATCCAAAATATTGTAATATTTTCACAATCCCACCACATATGGAAATAGGTACCCATTTTTTGCCTACATCTCCAATATAAACTAGAGCATTATCCATATACAATAATTTTACTGGTGTCAGGTGTTAGCATTTCCATGCTAATTTTTTTCCTGAATTCTTATTGGCATACTTTAATATTCCCTTGTCTCATACGTTTCATGGGCTCTCCCGCACTGGAGGCATTCAAGATGAAGCTGGACAGCCATCTATGACAGATGTTTCACCTTGCATTCCAGCATTGGACTCAACGGACTTACTGGCCCCTTCTAACGCCACTATTCTATGATCCATTCACAAGTATGGGTTGGGTTAAGGTTCTGCCTTACCTTTTGATGGAGGGCTTGTTTTGTAGATTGTTCCCTTACCTGAGTTGTGGGGATTCCCCTCCCCAACACAGCGCAGCTCAGCCCATTCAGCAGAGCACCTGACTCTCTGAGTAGAAGACTACACAGGCTCCTGCAGGATGGAGGTGGGAGATACACTGTGGCACGTGATCTAGAGTAAATCTAGATCTAAAACTTAGTGATTAGTTATTCCAACAGTTATATATTGCTGAATGGGTGACTTATTTATTTCCTTATATTGATATCCTTATATTGACTATTTTTTTCTTTCCAGGAACTCAAAATCGCTTTATGTAATCCTCCTCTTAGCCAACATTAAATATGTTTCTAGTGGAGCCAATGAAATTGATGGAGATTAAGTTAGGAGGACTTAAGTTACAATCGATGGAGGACTCAGTTGTCCTACTGATTGCAGTGAGTGTACTCTAAGCATCTCACACAAGCACATACACATAGACACAAAGCAACCTGCATTCCCAACAAAGATTTTCCTACGAAATCATATCCTTATCTTCATGCTTAAATCTTTGCCCCATAAGTACCTTGGAGTTTGCACAAAGAATTCCCATGCAATGGCCTGCAGGGCCTTCTTTACTACTTCTGCTTAGAAGCATAACCATGGATAATTATTTGATGGTCTATTAGACTGTTCTCTTCAGTAGTAACCCAACCAATAGGTAATTAAAAACAACCCTACACAATATTCTTCACTGAACTTCATGATTGTTTAATACAACAGTGAAGCTACTGATACTACTGGAAAATGTGTTTATAACTGTAGAAGATAGTTAAGAGCTACTTAGGCTCTTTAATGACTGCTGAATGGGCCCATAATAATGGTCCAAATAATATTCTTTAACTGGTGTTTTTCTATGGATTTAATGCAGAAACAATAAGCACTAGACTATACTTTAAACACCATTGATTCTTAAGTACAGTTTTTCTAATGTGTATGTTCTCTCAACAGTGAACTAGAGGCACCCAACCAGAAACAAACACAGCTCAATAGCTGTGATTCACCTGCAGTCTAGCATGAATTCAGAGTCCCAGAGGTACAAGACTTAGCAGGGGATAGGAAAGAGAACCAATAAACACCACTAGCTTCTATTTTCACTTATGCAGGCTTAGCTAGTCCCACACCCTGTTTATAAGAAAGGACACCAAATGGATGTGGTAGTTTACATTAATCTTCAACCTGCTGGCTGTATGTTGCTGCTGCTGCTATATTATCATCATCATCATCATCATCATCATCATTGCACTGTTGTTACCCCAGCCATCTTTTCGAGAGAAGAAAGAACTGGCAACAGGAAGATGAACAGGTTAGAGGAAGAGATGCTGCTGCCTTATACTGAGTGAGGCTATTGGTCCATCTAGTTGGTCCACAGGCAACCTCATGCTTCCCAGATGTCTTGTAATACAACTCCCATTAGCCCGACCTGTCATGGCCAAAGATGAAGGGAGGTGCAGTTCAAAATATCTAGGGAGCATCAGGTTGTTCACCTAACCACAGAGAAGGGCATTGGCACTCCAGGGTTTCAAACAGTGTTTGTCCAGCCCTTCATGGAAATACTGGAGAGATGACAGGGAGAGATTAACATAAACATTCTGAGCCAAAGTGGCTTAACTAAGCCAGCACAGTTTCTGGCAGTTGCCTGCAGGCACCCATTCCATAGCCCAACCCCTGCTCTTGGTTATTCTGCTGCCCAAACTTGGAAAAGGTACGTTGTTCATGTAGCTAACAAGCCACCTAGAACCCACAGGCTATTTTAGGTTTGTGAACGGTTTTGCAACCATGCCCACAACCTACCCCCACTGGTTTGGACAAGATGACGACTCACAAGTGGGGTTTGTGCTGTGGAACATGTGTCCAGCACATTCAGCAATGCTTCATTGAGCTGCTGTGGCTCAAAATGATCGTGCAACCCAGGTCAGAAAGAAATAAATAGAAAGTCAGTGAGAATTAAAAAATTAGCTCTACAAAGAGCTACAAAAATAGACAAAATCAAAACAACTTGGAAGATACTGCAATAAAAATTACAGATGGGTTCCAGATGCAGGTTGTGTTGATTTGATTTGGAAAGAGTTGATTTGGAAAGGTCAAAGACCATTAATTCTTTCTAGAACACAGCAGATAACCATATATCTGTAAAAGTTCTTCCTATACAGTGGTACCTTGGCTCACAAATGCCTTGGTTCACGAAAAAATCGGGTCACGAACAAAAATTTCTGAAAAATTTTGACTTGGTTTGCGAACACTGCTTTGGGTGGAGACCAAGATCACAGTCATCTTCCCCCCCACCCCAAGTGGGGAGATGGCCACGATCGCAGTTCCGTTCATGCAGGGAAGGTGTGTGTGATCAGAGGTGCGCTGCTGCAGGAAAGACGGGAGCAGCAAAGCAGATGGCCGAGATTCCACCTGTCTTTCCTGCAGGAGCGCGCCTCTGATCAGGCACACCTTCCCTGCACGAACGGAACTGCGATCGAGGCCATCTCCCCACCCCCAGCGCACTATTGCGCCCATCTCTCCCTCCCCCAGTGCGCCCGCAATTACGCCCGTTTTTCCCCCCCACCCCCGCCAGCGCACCGGGATGACAGGCACCTGCAGGGGTGACATGCGCCTGCAGGGATGACAGGCGTGATCTCGGTCATGCTGGGTGGGGGGGGGGGCAAGGAGATGGTCATGCTTGTGCTTGGGGTGGGGGGTGGGGGAGATGGCCGCGATCTTTGTTGTTGTCACTTTGCTTCACATTTTTCTGATTTAAAAAAATGGTTACAGAACGGATTAACCTTATTTACATTGAACCTTATGGGGAAATTTAACTTGGCTCACAACCAATTCGGGTCACGACCAGAATCCTGGAATGGATTAAGTTCGTGAGCCAAGGTACCACTGTACTAAGAATCACATATAGCATAATGGTGCATAAGATATTTAAACTCATCATAACATGAACTAAAGGGTGCAATGCCTTAAGAAACTTAGGGAATTATTTATTTAGAAACTTAAGGATGCAATTTCTTCCATGTTTACACAGAAGAAAGTCCTCTAACTCCCAGCATCTCCCAGTCAGCATGGGCTTTCTGGAAACTATAGGTCTTTTTTTGGTCA